TAGAGAGACCGGTGTCAACTGGAGCTTTTCAAGGTGTCCGTCAAACTTCGCGTGCAGCTTACAACTGAAAAATGATTTATGTAACTGATATCCTTGTAGTTAAACACATCGACTTCAACTTAACCCGCGACCTGGTGGGGGGGGGCTATTTTTGCCCCCCCCCTCCAGGCTTTTCGATATATCTCCAGAACCGCTGCGCCGAGCGTCACCAAACTTTCAGTACCCTCCCGGACATCAATTTTACACATTGTGACTAAAATTTTTCCAAAGGCTATGATAGGTTGGCCGGAAATGACGTCAGAGTGACGTCATGTTCTGCCGTTTTCGACCCAAAAAAGGGTTTTGCGGGAAGGGCTGTCAGGCCTATAGCTTTGCAAATACAGAAAAATGATAAAGACATAAAAGCTGTAGAATTGACAGGGCTACAAAACTGCTATCTCAGATTTTTGAAATTGTTGGATTTTGACCCCCAAAAATCAGAAAATAGATTTTTTGGATATAATAGTCGGAAAATCCAAAAAGTTTTTTGAATTTCGAAAAAACGGAATATATGTGATAGTCCTTACCGCCTTCCATCCACATAGGTACCAAATTTGAAATTGATACCTCTTTTTTTGGCGAAGTTATAGCGAAAAAACTGTTCAAAATTGATGACGTCAAATTTTCAAACTCAATTTTTAGCAATTCTAGACCCCGTAGCGCAAAAAAAGACCACCATTAGACTCCCCGTGACGAACTGCATCGAATCAATACCCATTTTATGCAAAACTATCAACTTTAAAATTTGACCTTTTTTGGCCCGACCTTGACCTGACCTTGACCTGATCTTCACCAGAAAGTGACCTAAGCCGTACCTGATAGTCTTATAACCAACACCATTGAGTTGGAAATGAAAAATTGGCCATAAAACATGCATCACACAACCTTAGTAAAGTTGGGTTCATGTGACCTGACCTGTGACCCTTGGTGACCTGACCTGTGACCTGATCTGGTGTTGTCAGTGACCTCTAATAGCAACATGTCTACTAGGCAACTGACGCCCTATCGCTGAGTTCTCGACAAAATGCGTTTTCCTCGGTGTTATAGCGCATTCCCTAGAAGACCCGTGAACGGTGAAACATTTCATCTTTGACCTGACCTGTGACGTCATCGGTGACCCCGAGGTCAATGAAATTTGGTTTACGTCGACAAATTTGACAGGCCTTTCGAACGCCGTTTAAATTTTGCGGATCCGTCCAGCAGTTTCGGAGATACGAGGGGGGGGGGGCAAAAATAGCCCCCCCCCCCACCAGGTCGCGTTATAAACAGACCCCACCAGGGCGCGGGTTAATAGGTTGTCTCAAAACTAATGTGAATACCTAAGATCACCAGCCGAACACTACCGCAAACATCACCAACCATCCCTGGTAAACGAATTATTGCTTCACGTCAGCAGACCGATTGGAGGGCAGCTGGAACAGTGCGGCTGGCATCACATTCACGTATTCTCCGTCGACGTTCCCCGGGCCTGGCCCTGACCAAGGGAAGCGATACTTGAAACTGACACACGGCTCATCCGCAGATGATATCATTGTCCTCGCGTGACAGCGGAACTCAGTCGGAGACCATCCACCTGTCATCGCACCCATCTCGCAACTATCCCCCTCTCCCCTCCATAGTTCGTCTCTCCGGCACGTTATTCATGCAGCAGTAGGTCCCAAGAATAGCCGCGGGCGCTGGCTCGCGCCGACCGCCGCCGCCACTGCGAGCTGTTGTCATTTCGAACTCATTAGGGCGACAGGTCGGGACGGATATTTTGCCCGTCGGCGGCGCCGTCGGTGATTAATCGGTCCCGGTAGTAACCGGAGCCTTTGTCAGCGGGACACGGGCGGCACGTGGACGGCGCCATCTTGTGACGGCTCTCTGCTAACGACCGGTGACGCTGAATGAGCCGTCACGACCGAGACACAGGCCGAGACACAGTGAGCCGTCACGACCGAGACACTGGGAATCGTCACGGGGAGACAATGAAATGTCACGGGCGAGACATAGGCCGAGACACGGCCGGGAGTGGGACACACAGGGCCGACAAAGTAGAGACACAGAACCGACACCGGCGAAACACAGCGTACCTTTTACCGTTGGGGGAGACACAGCGGACGTCACGGTCGAGACATCGCGGCAGGGCATATTTTAATAATTTTTTACTGCGTCCCAAAGTTGAGCAGGGGGCACGTGCTATGACTAAGGGCACAGGGCAAGGAACAGAGTAGGGCACTGAGGAGGGCAGAAAGTAGGGCACGGCAGGTTACAGGGCATGGCACAGGACATTTTAGAGGGAAGGGTACAGGTCAGGGCACTCAGCAGGCAGGTCAGGGAACCGGACAGGGCACAGGACAGGGACGCAGGGTCAAATCAACAGGGTCTACGTCCCAAGGCGTAGGCTGCGTCCCAAAATGGGACGTAGTAAGTGCCTTAAAATATGCCCTGCATCGCGGACGTCAAAGGCTCAAAGGGTCAAAAACGTTCAAAGGCTCGCTGTAGCTACACCAACTGAACGACCGCTTTGAAACTTTCAGCGATTGATAAGAGTAACAGAATGTATAAAATGCGTATCTCGAAATTTTGATATCTGTGACCTAAGGGCAGAACAATTTAGCGACCTCCCCATAGTCAATAGGAGAAAAAGTGAAATGCGTCACTTTTGAATGAATACCATTTAAAAACTCTCAAACATCTGTTTATGGGTACACGTACACTGAATCGGAAAATTGTACCCTTGACCCCTTTATGTGCCCCTGAGGTCATTTCAGTTCATGAAAGTTCACCAACATATTTTTATTATAACTTTTGATAGAGACGTGCTAGAGTGGAGAAACACGTCTGAGATGTGTTCAGCTCCACGATACGGATCGACTGATATGCAACATGACCCTTTCCGGTCAGGTCATAGCCCTGACCTGAGGTCAAATTTTCCAAATAGCCTTTCAAGGTCAACTAATAGTTCCTTCGACGCATCTCGACGAGATGAACACGATGCTGGCAATCGTGGCTCTTTTGGGTAAAAAGAAATTACCGAAAAACTGTTTTCGGGATAACCTATAACACATAAATACTTTTAGTTTTTTGCCCTCTGGAGGCTAAACCGTTGACCTGAGGTCACGCCCGAGAACATTTCTCAGAAAGGCCTGTGGGAGAGCTATTGAACGCGCTTTTTTGCGGCACTGTAGCTCTATTGGTTACCAAGTTATGTGTCGGGTGTTTCGAAAATTGTTGAGATAGTCAAAATTCGACCTATGATGACCACTGGTGATCTGGCCTTTGACCTGACCTCAAAATGGCCCAGGTAATTCAGTAATTATTGTTGTCGCTCTTTTAAATGCCGCTTACCGTGTGTCGCTATGTGGGCCAGGAGCCGAGGTAGACGGGGGGGGGGGGTAAAAACGCCCCCCTCCCCGCAGCATGACACGACGGCGCGGGTTAATTGGACTTAACCCTATTAGTGGCAGGCTCCTGGCTACCCCTATTAGTGGCAGGGGGGGGGGCTGTTTACGACCCCCCCTTGATATCTCGAGATCTAACGGGCTGATTTTCAAAATTCAAACGGCATTCGATTTCGCTCAACGAGATCTACATTTCTAAAAAAAAAATTAAAAAATGTCAATAGGGGGGTAGAGGGGGGGGGGGTAAAAACGGGCAAATTGCAGATACATTTTAGACTGTTTATCACGGCCAGGTTTCTGAACCAATCTTAACGCAACTTTTGCCGATCGATAGAGCATGAACCAGGAATTCATATGGATCCTAAAAAAATGCATTTTCAAAAATCATAGGCGGATACAGATCATTGAGATTGGGGGTACGCAAAAAGTAGAGTAAATAAGGTTTTTGTTGGTACTGTTTCTAAAATTGGTGGCAATGGTCTTGTTATGTTACAATTTTCTTATGAGAGAACGACTAAAATTGTATTGGTCATGCATAGGCGGTGTCAGGGCACCTATGTTGGGAGGTAAAAAATAACCCCCCTTTTTGGACGCCTGGATCCGCCTATTATAGCAAAAACGTGTCAAAAGAGGATGCACAATAACTTTGTATATGTTATCACATGATACCTTTCATTCACTGTTCGTAAAACTGGTGCAGCATCGTGATCTTCGCCCAAATGACTCGCTTCACGAATAGGACCCCCCAATTCCCAGTGCTCTGGAGCCGCCCCTGGTAAAGTTATGAACTTGAAATTTTCAGGGAATGTGCCCAATTTAGTTTTAGGAAAGTCAGAAAATTTCAGCATCGTAGCTTCAGCGGTTTCGGAGATATTCCCGAAAAACCTGAGGGGTGGATAAAAACAACCCCCTGCCACTAATAGGGCTAAGCTTCGCAAAAGAACGAACGTGGTGTTACGAGACTCAGCGATTAGCACTCAATACATTTTCACAGTGCGCAATAGGTACATACATATAGCTGTGCGCCTATAGCGTGCGCCAAATGACATCACCCTCCAACCGTTCCCCTATCGCCGGCGATGTTTTGACGCGTTCCGTTCGGTTTCTCGGCTCGTCGCTGTTGTGACGAGAGGTGACAACTGTTTGTCTGCGACGCGTTCGTACGGGGATCAGCCATCCGAAGGACCCACTCGTCCCCCGTCCGCCCCGGGCTGGCGCGATGGCACGGGTCCCGACCTCGTGACCTGTCATCCGGTAGCGGAGGGAGGGGGAGGGGTAGCGCCCGCTCCCGCCGCCATCCGTCACCCCTCTCCCCTGGACAGGAGGGGGGGGGCTCGTTAGTTGAGACACGTGTACTCATTGGTGGACACCCGAGCCCGGTCGGCAGCCGGGGTTTGGCCGGTTCGTCGGACGCTGCGCCGGGTGACAGCGAGGCAAAGGGGCGGGAATACGATCAGGGTGCCAGCTCAGCACGAGTCTGATTGATGCATGAATACCGAATGATAACTCAATATGGACGATAATGTAATCCTTTCGGAGCATTGTCAAGTCAGATATGAGAATGTTGAGACAAATACGTTTCAAATCATGCATTGTATCTATTTTTAATCTATTTGCGTAACATTAAACTGTTCATATAGTGTCATTTACTCGCATATCACACAAATGCATGGACTAAATCTGTTCAATGAGCGTTTCATTCAATATCTGCTCTCGTTCCTCTTCTCTTCTCTGGTGTGTCGGTCCAGTCACGCCTAGAAGCAAGTCTTGCGCAATGCACTCTGCTAAATCCCGTATTCTGACCGTGCTCATTTTCCTGTCTGTGGCCGTGTCAGAAGATCTGTCCGTCCAGTGTCGCCCTCACTCGGGCTGCTCGCCGTCTCCCGGCTCCGTGTCTCCGTCTCCCGCCTCCTGCTCGCCCTCCCCCGTCTCCGGCTCCTCTCCCGTCTCGTCCCGCTCTCCGTCTCGCAGCTCCATGGTCAGATCCTGCGGCGGCTCGCCGTCTGCCGCCTCCAGCTCCGTCTCGTCGCCGCCGACCTGGTCGGCCTCCGGGTCCGGCTCGGCGCCCTCCTCGGCGCCCTCGGGAGCTCCGGCGGCCTCCTCGCCGGCAGCCGTGCCCTCACCGTCGGCTACCTGACCGCCCTCTGGTGGCGCGTCCCCACCGCCCTCTGCCGGAGACTCGGCGGGAGGTGGCGGCGGCGGCGGAGGCGGCTTCTCGGGAGGCAGCACCGCCGAGCCGATACTGACGTGGCTGGCCACCCTCTCCAGCTCGAGCAGACTGTGCTGGATCCGGTTGATAGCAGCGTCTCCAGCCAACACTCTGTGAACGCACAGTCAACGAGCGGTCAGATTCCAGCGTCCAAACGACCGAGCTGATGACCGTACCCTGTGAGATAGTCCTTTCCCGGTACTTACAAGCAGGGTTTCGGAGTCGGAGTCGGAGTCGGAGTCGGAGTCGGAGTCGCCCGGAGTCGTGGCAAGCAGCCAGGAGTCGGAGTCGGAGTCGGAGTCGGTCAAGCTGCCTCGACTCCGACTCCGGAAAATAACTAGAATCTGTGATAGCACTTTTCAGTTGTTTTTTTTTACCAGTTGCCCGCGGTAGAATTCGCTTCCGGCGATGAAAATTGCACTCATCTTGTTTTTGTTCTAAATGACAAAAATTGGATCAAACAAGTTTCAAGTTATATCATAATTTAGAAGTCGTATTTTGCCAGCATGCCTGTTATAACTTCCACTTTCTGAAGTATTTGACGAGTCAGACAACTGTATTTTTATTTTTTTCGTTTATGTTCCGAAAAGTATCAACACATAGGAATGACCGACATGATGGCGATGCTCGTGTTCGTGATACGGCCGCCTCTCGCGCTTCTCGGCGGGTTTCCGCGCTGGCCGCGACCTCTTGTGGATTCAGCTGCGTCTACGTGGGAGAAATGGTGACTGCACTAGGGTGACCCGCGTGCTCCGCAACGCGAAAAGGGGTATTTTCGATCGGCGGGTGTTCGGTTGTTCTTGTGTCGGTTGGGTTATCTATCCATTTCGGTCGATTGCTTTTTGACGGCTAAACGTTTTGGTTTGTGGAAAAAATATCCACCGCATCGAGGTGCCCGTGTCTGATAAGCATGCTTTCCACTTCAGAATCTGTCAAATGTGCTTTATAATTGAGGTGCGTAGTTTTAAGACAAATGAAAGGCGTAGATAATTTTCGCTAAAAATCGTTTTGCAGAGGTTTAAAACATTTATATTTTAAAGAATACTGTTGCTTGTCATGCAAACGTGATGATTGGATCTTGGAGAGAATTGAATGCTCTTTCTAATGATAGCATTTTCAATTGTCAAGCGTATCAGGTTAAGCAGCAAATCCCGTGTATCTTTTTAGTGGCACATTGTGGACAAATACCATTTTAATTCAGCGATTTTTCCACACTGTTTTTGATCAATTAGCTGTCCACAATTTTTCCATGAGAGGCGGTACATTTCTCTTGGCAATTGACGTTGTTTCAACTCTCTCAGTCTGATGGTCACGGGAAAATAAAATAAAATCCAAAATACGTCTAAAATGGCACTTTTTGAAATGAAATTGCCCTCACACTTGCACGTGGCGCGTGCCACCCCTGCACCGCACACTATTCGATTGCCCGTTCGATTCTCTACACGATGCTGTTTTCCCCGTGCCGATCGGGCGCACGGCTACCGAGATATTGCACGGGGAACGGACCCGTGTCGGGCAAATTTAGCCATTTTCGCCCGTTTTTGCCAGCCGATTTATACATGTAAAGTCTATGACGCGAATTTGCACTTTTTGGGCACGCGCCACGCGCTCGCTATCGATCCGATCGAGCCGAGACCGCTCAAAGGCACGTTGTCCATCCTTGTTCTATAACTTGCGCAAATTTCAGCGCGGTAGGTGCAACGGTGTGACCTGTAACCCGCGCTACGTAGCACCATGTCGCGACCTTCGTAATAGACAGAAACTACGCCTTCCTCAAATAGTAATATAGATGAAGGAAACCGGAGAGTAGGAGCGTTTTCCCCGTGCACGTAGACCTAGCACGTGGCGTCATATCACGCAAAATTTTGGCGGCCGCCATTAGTGCCATTCGTATCAGACCCGGAGTCGAAGTCGGAGTCGGAGTCGGAGTCGGTCAGGAGCCCGGAGTCGGAGTCGGAGTCGGAGTCGGAACAGCGCTACCACGACTCCGAAACCCTGCTTACAAGGATAAAATATAAAAGCAAAGTATGTGACCTATGTGTCCAATGTGCCCAGTGTCTAATAATTTGCCAGATCCTCCGATGTGACCTCCCTCTGAAGTGAGCTCTGACCAATCGAATCACCAGTGTGACTTGCCCAATGGCCTACCGACCTTCCAATGTGACCTGTCTATTGATCTATCGAGCCTCACGTCTGACCCTTTACTAACCTATCAGCTCTCCAGACGGGCACCAGGGTAGCCGGCGGCTCCTCGTCCTCAGTGCTGCGGGGCGGTTCGTCTTCATCTACCGGTTGCTGGCGCACCGTGTACACCCCCTCCTGCACCAGGCTGTCTCCGAACACGTAGCAGCCGGGGCCGTCCGGCAGGTCGTCCTTCCACTGACCCTCGTACCGGTGGTCCTGGTGCACTAGCGCCCCCTAGAGGATAACCGGGGAGAGGTGGTATGGTCACATTTCGTAGGACACTGGCTGGTCGTCTTTCAATTGACCCTCGCACCGGTGGTCCTGGTGCACTAGCGCCCCCTGACGACAGCCCGGACAGAGGAGTAATTAATGGTTACATTTCGTAGGACAGGGGCAGGGAATCCGATCGGTGGTTAAGGCAATACGAACGTTTCGACCAGCACTGTGTTCTTAAAAGCGCGTATGGTCGGTGTGTTACCATTTGCCACAGTTAGAAAAAGGCATAAAAGGCAGAATAAACGCACACGAACCAATTACCAATATTTCATTGTTACATTAGGTAAATTGCTTAGCTCTGCACGCTCCAGGTCTACTCGGTGAGCACCGCCCAATATATGCCTCAGCCGTTTTATAATGCATCCGTGGCGTCCTCAGTTCGCACCCGAGTGAGCCCCGCCCCGTTCACCATGCAGCGATGGCAGTTGCTCAGCCAGAGACCTTGCCGTGTCGACGGTCGTTCTCCCACTCGCCGACGTATTTGCAGTTGAGGGCAGGGTAGAAGCAGATGCCTATGCCCTGCCGCATGTCGTCGTGCCATTCACCCACGTACTTGTTGCCGTTGGCAAAGTAGTAGGTACCCTGGCCGGTCCGCATGTCATCCTCCCAGTAGCCTGCACGGCAGAACCATGGGATTGTTTTCCGTACCACAGGCTGCAGTAAACGGCGAGTAAATTTGGACTCATTGAAACTGCATCGTGGTTGAAACTTCACAATTCGTTCCTAAAAGACAAAAGTCATATCACGCAGAATAGAAGGGACAAATTCTGTACTTAATGATAACTTAAAACACTTGACAGATAATGACAAAATAGCTGGTTTTGCATCAGCAATGAAGTTCAAACCATATAACAAACGTTAAGTTTGATCTAATAGCTTTAAAACCTCCACTCTTGTGCAGAGAAAAAGCTTTGGGAAGCGATTCGCTTTGAAGAGAAGAACATGGGGGAAGAGAACGTCCGTGGATAAATTTCACTTCTCACAAAGTTTGATCAAAGTTTCGCACGCCTCCGCACTTTTTGCGAAGTTTCTACAACTGTCAGTTCAAGCTGTGTGTCGAACGAAGGATTTATTGAGCCACGACTGCAAGTAAAAAGTAAAACGAGTGGTCAGCGATTCCTGACGCGACGCGAGCTGGGAAGGAATGAAGAGATGAACAATAATTATTTCGTCTTGGGTTGACAGTACTTAATTTGAAACTCCTTAGAGTGAATGAAAATGAAAAATAACACGACAGCATAAAAAAAGGCATCGATGATATATAAGATCTCACCCTCGTACTTGGTGCCGTCAGGATAGACGAACACCCCTCGGCCGTGCTTCTTGCCGTCTTGCCACTCTCCCGTATAGCGGCTGCCGTTCTTCTTGAACCGGTAGTGACCTCTGCCGTGTCTCTTTCCCTCTCGGTAGAAGCCGCGGTAGATGTCGCCGTTCGGCAGATGCGCCACGCCGTAACCGTGCCGCTGTTTGGCCTCATTCCTCTCCCCTTCATAGGTCTGTCAGGAGTAGGGCTTGTCGAATATCTGCGTACGTTTGTTTTGTTGATTGTTTTGTTGATAAGCTTAACATGGACTTTAGAAGGAAATCGATGATGGATAGTGATGTAAGAATTAAACTCAACCGACCGATCATAAGATATTTATCACAATCATATCCATTAAGCTTATGTCTATTTATGTCCACTGAGATGAACAATGGAAATCCATCTAGGTCACGCTGGCTGATCACTCATGCATTGTCCCCATTATTTCAATTGTTCAAGCTAGAGAATGGTACATGTATGCTCACATAAAAGTTCAGGCAGGCATACCTACTCATTTCAATCTAATCTTATAGTAATATGCTTGTAAAAAAAAAAAAAACGAGAAAGAAAAACAAGCAGGTATACGATGTGTCTTTTGGACTTTTTGAAAGGAACTTTGTTTTACCTTTAGGTATAGGTAGGTATCAGACTTCAGGAAATTAATGCGTCCATATTTATTTTACGTTTCAGACGTTGACACTGTAATTGAAAAAGTACCTACCTACATCTACGAGCTAAACGTAAATAAAGGAAATGTATCCTCTCTGACATGGGTCACACACTAATGATTTATGCATTAATAAGAAAAAGCTGAAGTGCAAGAAGTCGACTTACTCCAATGGTATTTTGCTCCTCTTCTTCTCCTTCCGATGAGTCAGACATCTTGTAAGTTATCTATCCACGTAAGCTTAATGAAATGTACCCGTCTGGGTGCTATTTAAATAGTTTTTTCTTCAATAGTTCTTTTTTAGCAAAATGAATAATGAAGCGAACTCCAAAATTGTGTCTCTTTCTGTCTCTGATTGTCTACCAGTTTTGAGTGTATCACGCGCCTCATATTTTTCGGGACTGAAAACCGGGAGAAATGTCAAAAAACGAGATGCAAACATTTTAAAAAATCCATTAAAATGGTGCCATGTTCCCACGACTGATACCTTCTCAGTACCCACTTTATTGCGGTGATAAAATGTTTTTACATTTTATGTTTTCGCTTTCTATGCGCTCATTTTTAGTGAAAATGTAAGGCTGGGAGGAGCCCCATTGCATTATGATTGAACCGACAAATGAATTGAATGGAGAAATGATTGGAAATGAAAGCGTATGTGGGTGAATTGATAAAAAGCACTGCATTTTCAACATAGATGCCTAAATTATTTCACCATTACAGGAACACGAACAGTTTCTCGACCGTATCATATTCCCAGTTTTTGACAAGTAAACGATGGAAAATTATTTCGCTTATTTTTAATGATAAAACAGAAATAAAGCCAATCAGCATGACCTAAAATTTGACTCATTACCTCACTTAAAACTGCCAAGTACTATCAGCTAAGTTTACAGTATACCAACGGGCTTTTCATTGAAAAACCTAGGGTGCGCTACTGTTTGAAGTAATAATTGTGCTCCAGTTGGTGCATTTCTAGGTCATACATTCATAGACATTACACATAAATATGCGGCTCTGGTCACTTTGTTTTCATGATGGTGCAATTAATTTCCGCTTGTACTCTTTTTTCAGTCATACGTGTTCTCAAGTGGTTTAAGCGCAACAGGCGACTGCGTTATTCGCAAAGTTTCCTTGCGGATATCGTGCATCTTATCCCGGCAGTTGCTGGGGTATTTCGCCACACACCGTTTGCTGAGGGGGGGGGGTGTTAAACGCCCCCAGCCGATAACTCGAGAACCAATAGGCGCAGCGAAACGCACGAGGCGGCAAACGAAAGAACGCGACGAGACGCTTCAGATGAGTACTTTAAAGTTGAATTTTGAGGTCACAGATCGGGTCAAGGTCAGGTCAAACACCTGTAATCGGGCTTTCAGTAGCATGGACTTCAGGACTTCGTAATGGGCGCCTTTCGTCATAAACTCTGTCAAAACGGTGCACAATCCATCATATAAGGCCTACAAGAGTGTCAGATCCATGTAGGGGTCAGTCAAGCATAGGTCAGGGTCAAGGTCAGGTCAACCGGGTAGGCACATATCCCCGAAAATCAAAACTGATATTCGCAGCCTGTGACACATGTTTTATGGGTAATTTGGGGCGTAGAACACGATAGTGACATTCATTTTATCATATGTGTACGTGTTTGGCTCAAAAAGTTCAATTTAAGAAATGCGTGTATCATGGTCGTGAAGTTGTCACGAGAAATTGCCAAGATTCAGTTCAAGATTTTGGAAAATGCGGAACGATAATCAATAATCGAAGATAGCCATTTGATTGTTCATGGTATTGGCAGTCTAATGGCGTTTACGGCATGTCTGTATGTTTATTCTGTGATTTTATATGATTTTTTGAACATATGCCGTTTTTGATCGAAAACTCAGAAATCATGACGTCACTAAAACCTCGATATCTCAAAAAAATTTCCGACCGATTTTTTAAAAACTTTGTCACAATAAACTTCAATCAATTCCCTACAGGTACCCAAAATTTGGATGCTATGGCCCAGCGAAAAAAGTGGGGGCGTTTAACGCCCCCCCCCCCCCAGCAACTCGCGGGTTATGACTCGATAGGAGAGGTCTCGAGACTAAAAACAACCGTCCATATACCTATTGTAAAAGCAGCTAAATTTAGGTAGCCACTAGCGAGGGAGGGCTATACTAAGCCTGTGAAAACCGTGCACAGTTCAAATAATTACATTTAACAAAAAAAAACTGTCCGCTTGGGAATAATTCGCATCGGTGATCCATGTGCGGGCTAGTCGAGAGTCGGGTCTGTAATGTCATTCGCAGCAAGCAGTGCCTGTCCGGTGCCTGAGCTCGCAATCAAAAATATATTATTTTATGAATAAAGTATTTTCTTCTTTCTTGTGACTTGGGGCTGTACAATGTACAAGCACCGTTTATTTAACTCCTCGGCTTGCAGAGGACCTCTTACAAGCTGCCTTGGCGTGACAAAGTAGTTGCGAGGCTTAAACTATGCGTAAGTGACGCCCCTACAGGCGCGGCTGCGACGCCTCGTCCCTCAGACTCTAAACCGCACCCCGACAGCCCCCGACGGTCAATTAACTGCGGCGAACCAAGTCGCCAATGGGCGCTATTCATCAGCGGCGGCTCGGCGCCGGGTCTGCCACCTGTCGGCGGGCGGCGGAAGCTGGTCGTCGGCGCGGACGGAGCTCGTTCGCGCCGCTCCCGTCGGAGACGGCAGCTCGACAGAGGCGGACGGTGCCCGCGGCGCGGCGACACGTGACACCGACCGAACACCTGCTGCACTTCCGACAAGGTAAGGCGCCCCTCGACAATCCACCGATCCCCGCTGTGGGTACCGTGAATCGGTCAGAGGGGACTGACACAGCTGCGGTCCTCGACCTAGGCCAACGCGCTGAGGTCAGGCACTGAATATTCTAGGCGGATAGCCGCCCACCAGTTGCAGCGCTTTGTTGTTGAACGCTGTCATTCATCGTTATGAGGAGCTATTTTTCATGCATTTATTGTCATTTTATGTCATGAATAGGGTTGGTTAAATATGGTTTACCGAATAAGTAACCGTATCATTTATGCTTTTTATTTATGTATACCACTCGTAACTTATTTTAGCGGCTCTGTGTCATGTGTCAGCCTGTGTCCGTCGGTCGGACCGTGTCAGCGTTGGTGGATGCTCACCAGACCGAGTCCCGGGCTGGCCGCCCGGCGGCAGTAGCCTCTGCACGCTATACTGTATATCATGATGGCATTACCTACTAATGTGATGGATTACATTACCGTTTGCTATTAGAGCGCGGTAACTGGCGCAATGACTGGGGCTCATTGCCTATCGGGGATCTTAGCCAGGCTGATGTACACAATTTCTGGTGATCCAGCTGTAGTAATGCCAAAAGTCCAGTACACTCAGATGCCTCTATTCACACCCGTACCCGCTCGTGTCCCGGAGCGCACTGCCCGGCTTCACCACATTAGCCTAGATCATACCTCTGTACACGTCATATCACGTCATATCACGTCATTCTGAACCCTAGACAAAGGCTGATCAATTTCTCCCTCCGCCGACTCACCGGCGCCATAAGACCCTGGCTCGCAATACGACGCGCACCATCATCGCTCGAACCACGCAATGACTAAGACACAGACTACACCTCACCCTGATCCTCAAGATCATCACTTCCGCTGCTGCTGTTTAACGCATCAATCGGCACCACGTGGCCGAAGAAGTCAGGCGGCCGCCGATTACGCTGACCTCGGCGCACCACCCTTTCGCCGCTGTCGCTCTCAGACCGGCCGCACTCACCACCCGCATCATCAGCCTCCTCCACCGGGCGCCCCGGCGCGCCATCGCCCTCATAACCGAATGTCATGACGACCGGGGACCCGGCACGGTCCTCCTCCGCTTCCTGTGGGCCCCCGCTGCCCCGGTCGAGGGTCCGAGGGCCTGCTGCTAGTCCCCCGGTGTCACCGCAGTGGCGGAGGTCTCTGATGTGCCAAGGCACGCCGCCCACTTCAACCACCTGCGGCGACACCACGCCAGACACCGTTCCTCGAACCGACCGCTCGGTGCAGCGGGTGCCCGGCCGCCTCACCCACACGGCGTCCCCCACCTGGAAGTCACCCTCCCGCCGGGCTGGCGGCCGTCCTATCACGGCCTCCTCGGACGCTCCGGCGGTAGCTCTTTGTCTCACGGCGTCCCTCACAGGGTAGCGGTAGATGCCGTTGGCGGGCGCCTCAGCCGCCGTCCCGCCGTCACGGGGCGTGATATTGTACAGGTGCACGGCCTCTCCGATGCCACACTTCTTCCGCGCCGCGATCACTTTGACACTGCGGTGGTTCCGCTCCACGATGGAGTTCCCGCTGGGGCGATGCACTGCGCGGAAACGCAGCAGCACTCCCCAGCGGGCAGCGAAAGCGGCGAACTGACGACTGCGGAAAGCGGTGTCGTTGTCCGCCAGAAGCTCAGCCGGTGCGCCTCGCTCCGCGAACACTTGTTCGAGTTCACTCGTGACTGTCGCCGCGTCCGACCGCCGCAGCAGCCTCCACACACAAAACCGTGACGGGCCACAGTCTATCACCGACAAGTAGGACTGACCACCGTAGTGCGTGACATCGATGGCCAGCCGGTCCCACGTCCCCTCCACAGCCAGCGACCCGTGCCTCCAGGTCACCGGCGCCGGGTCAACCGCGCGGCAGACGTCACAGGCCGTCACCACTTCCCTGACCACTTTCCGGGAAATCGACGATGACACATCCCGACGCGCGAAATACAGCGTTCGTCGGACACCCGGGTGACCCGCCCTGACATGTACGTCAGTGACGGCCTGTCGGAAGTCCACGGTAACGGCGCCGCCGCCGTCTCCCACTTCCGATCCAACCACTGCCGCTGCTGCCACTGGCTGTCCATCGCTCGGCCGCTGGTCCGCTGGCTGCGAGTCCTGACGCAACCACAGGGACGGCACTCGGGTCAGCGTGTCCGAACGGTTCTGAGACGAGCGGACTAGAGACACGGTGAGAGAAATGCCCAGCTCTGCGACCAGCTGCCTGATGACGTCGACCCGCCGGCGGATAAGCATCTCTCCATGTGCCTTGGTTCGCAGTCTCGCGCGCCCGCTCAGAGCGTCGCTGACCCACCGGTGAACAGTGGCGGAGTCCGTCTTCAGCTCGATGGTCTTCATGTCCCACGCCAGGGCCAGGTTGATGCCCCGCACGGCGGCGTCGAGCTCCGCCATGTTGATGTGGGTGGCCTCGTCCCGGCGGAGCCAGCACGCGTCCTCGATGACGTCACCTCCCTCGCTCTCCAGCACGACGCCGGCGGCTATCGAGCTAGCGTCCGTCCACAGTACGGCGCGGTGCCCAGTCACGCACCACTGCCCACGGGCCGGGTCCTCGCTCGCCAGTCGCTCAGCCACGTGCTTCAGCTGTTCCCGCAGGGCCGCGTCGTGTGTGACGTCATCCCACCCGCGTGTGAGAGAGTTGACACGACGCTTCAGCCACGCTGTCGCTGGTCTCAGCCAACCGCAGACCGGCAGGTGCGCCACGATACGACCACACCATGAAAACACGGAGCGCCGCGTCATTGCCGCGGGCGGTGAGCCGACTGGGTTGTCACGCCTCCAGGCCAGCCCACCCCCGACTGGCTCCACACGCAGTCCCAGCAGCCGCGCTCCGTCCGCAGCCCGCTCCGGCGGCTTACACTGGAGCCCATAGCTCGCGAAGTGGGCGATCACGCGCTCCGCGCTCACCACGTCCTCATTGACGCACAGATCGTCGACGTACGGTATGACGGCGCCCTGCATCACTGGGTCCTGTTGCAGCACCGTCCGCACCACCGCCTTCATGATGAGAGGCGCGACGTTGAGCCCGAATCCGACACGGGTAAGAGCGTACCTTTGGCCATCAATCACGACTGTCTGAAACGGCCACAGCCGACGATCGGTCCTGAGCTGCAAGTACGCCCTCTTCAGGTCGACGACGGCGACGTTGGCCCCGTGCCGCCGCCATTTCCTCAGCGTGTCGGCACATACGTCAGCGTCGGCCGTGTGTGCCTCCACATGGCTGTTGAGCTCGCGGCAGTCTAAGACTGGTCGTACTTTAGTCTTGTTCTGCTGTTCAACAGCCATGAGAGGGATCAGCCCACGCGGCGGCCCGTCCACCGTCTCGTCGTACGGCTCCAGCCAGCCGTTGTCGATCCATGTACGGAGTTCAGCATCAAACTCCTGCCGTGCCTCGGCCGGCACGCCGTACTGGGGGACACCGTTCCTCAGGCACCCTGGCTCCGCCCCGTTCCGCCACTTCCACGCCACCGTCCAGTGTTGACTTTTCGCGTCATAAGTGACCGTGAAGTCTCGCTCTTCCACGGTCAACGCCGGGGGCGTCACGGCGCTGCATCGCGGCGGCACCCCTCCCGGGCCCGGCACGGCCACGTCGGGCCTCTCGCTGGCACCGAACACCACATCGTCCGCCGCCCGCACTGTCACCCCGCCCAGCGCCGCGATGCCGGTCATCCCCACCAGCATATCCACGCCCAGTGGTTTGTCCGGCACTACCACGGCGCTGAGCGTCACCGCGGGCCCGCCGCTCTTCAGCTGAACCGCCACCTCCGTTACTCCGCTGCTTGGCAGCCGGGACCCGTTGACGGCCATTACAGTCACGCCGCACCGTCTCCAGCTCGCGCAGCACGACTCGTGGATGATGGTGCAGCTGCAGCCCGAGTCGATGACAGCCACTCTGCGCTGCCCATTCACCAGCAGCTGCACCGTCGGTAGCGCGCCTCTTACTCTTGGGCTGCCCGAGAGGAGGTTGGCGCAGACACCGCCTCTCCTGACGCGTTTCCCGGCATCCGTTCCGGGCAGCGTGCCGCGGCGTGTCCTGGCTGCTCGCACCGGAAACAGATGATGTCCGCTCTCCTCTCCGCCCGGCAGTCACGAGCGAAGTGACCGGCTCGACCGCAGCGGTAACACCGTGATGACGCCGGCGTGTGGCGGGAACGGGCCGGCGCAGCGGCGGCAGCGGCTGCAGCGACGGCATTCTCTGCCATCAGCGCCCGAGCCCGCTCCACCAGCTCGGCCAGCGTCAGGCTCTCCATGCGGCAGCCGGCCCTCAAGGTATGCCTCGCCGCATCCGGGAGACCGGCCACGAAGCCGCACATCAGCGCCGTGTCGCCGAGCCCGCCGAACAGGGAGGCCAGCCGCCGCAGGTCTGCCAGGTAGACGTCGACGCTCTCGCCGACACGAAGTCTTCTCGCCGTGAACTCCTCGTACGCCTGGAACTTATCCACAGCGAACGCCCGCAGCAGGGCAGCTTTGACGGCAGAGTACTGCAGCTTCTCCTCGGGCTTCAGCTGCTGGTAGACGCTGAAGGCTCCGCCGGTCAACCGCAGGGGGACGACGGTTTGAATGTCGGACACTCCGCGCAGCTGACAGACGAGCTTCGTCTTATCCAGCCACTCTTCCACAGAGGCGTTACCGCCATCGAACTCGGGGATTAGCCGCATGTCCAGCGCAGAACTTGCCACAGCGCTTTCCTGTGACATGGTCGCCGAAATAGCTTGTAGTAATGCCAAAAGTCCAGTACACTCAGATGCCTCTATTCACACCCGTACCCGCTCGTGTCCCGGAGCGCACTGCCCGGCTTCACCACATTAGCCTAGATCATACCTCTGTACACGTCATATCACGTCATATCACGTCATTCTGAACCCTAGACAAAGGCTGATCAATTTCTCCCTCCGCCGACTCACCGGCGCCATAAGACCCTGGCTCGCAATACGACGCGCACCATCATCGCTCGAACCACGCAATGACTAAGACACAGACTACACCAGCCTACAGTGGGTCTCCAGGGAAAACGTTACCGGTCTTGCCAGCAGTATTAGTCCACTGATGGTGCCCAATTGGGCACACTCCCGCACGACCCGACACGGTAGGGATCCCTGGGCGGCCCTGAGACACAACAACTCCTGACTGGGGTACCAGGAAAAGGTGGTCCTTGTTCTGCTGTCCCGGGAGGCATTGGTTCACATCTGAGCTTCCAGAGTCTATTTATGGACATGAAAAGCGGTCTATATTAGGGCTCCGGGAGATAGCTTCTGTGCAGATTTGTAGTTCTCGGGACACAACACTCAAAAGTTACCGGCTGGTCCTGGAAAACAGTCGTTTCCGTTTTGGTTCCTCGGAAACCGTGGTTCCCCGTTTGGGTCCCGAGATGCAGTAATTTCTCACTTGACAGTGGTCAAGGACACAAGGCCTCCCCAAGTACTCAACCAACCCAGTTTCTTTACACTGCGACCCCCTGTCTGAAGGCTTGGGTTATACCTAACGGTCACGTTTTTCAATGCAATTTACATGAAAGGAATAAAGCAATGCATGGAATTCACAATATTGCGCGCGTCCTGCTTTGAAGCGCTGCAACTCGCAAGTAATGCCTTGGTATGTCTACGAATGTCGGCATGGTCCAGCAAAATGTATTATTTTATCAAAACAGCACTGACATGAGATTAAATAATTAAGCCTTAACAACCAACTTCAAAATTTGACCTCACTTGACCTGACCTTGACCTGACCTCGACCTGAAATTCATCCAGAGGTGGTCCATATCACTTATTGAGTGTGCCTATTGCATTCTATGAGTAAAATGACCCATAAAACATGTGTCGCACATGCCCTTTTCTATATTTTGTTTTTGGTGACCTGACCTGACCTGACCTTGACCTTAACCTTTGAATGACATTGTATGCAACGAATATTGTCTTGGTAGTCTAAGAACACGTTTTGGGCAATCAGTCTCAGTCCATTCTTCGGCAACTACTGTGCAAGGCCGATACTGTAGAAACTTGCATTTTGTACCGTTGACCTGACCTTGACCTGACCTCTGACCTACTTAAGCAAAAAAATTTGGGCTCGTAAGATCCGCCTTGTTGAGAGCTTTCGATTGCCGTTTTCCCCGTCTTTCTACCCATCGGTTCGGAAGTTAGACAGGGGGGGGGGGGCAGAATCTGCCCCCCCCCCCCCAGCAGGGCGCGTATGGCTGAATAGCCCAGCGGGGCGCGGGTTAAACAAGACCCACCATAGATGCGCACAATGATTTTTGCCCCGGCTTTTGCAAAGTATACAAAACATCTGACAGAATCTCACGATTCCTCAATATCTGAAATGTGAGAATATGTATTCAAACTGTAATAAAAAATAACAAATAGCCTTATGACATTCTGCACATGCGTCATAACTATTGGAGTATTTGAAGCACCTAAATTTCGAGGCTAAACGTAAAATTTAACTAAAAGTAGCCAATTGCCACAGTTTAAATCGTGACGGCTGCTCTGCAATAACCTAAATCTCTTGACGTTTGGCACAGATGAGGTACTTAGGACTTCGCCGAAACTGATCTGTAATCGGTGAGCTACTTAGAAACCGACTCTTCGTATTAGCTGGGTTTTAACGGTCTAATACAGACATTATCTCAGTCCCAATGGCGTGTGTAGAAAGCCCATTCGGAAAGCCCATTTGCAGCGTTATTATTATAAGGACAAATTTATGACCCCTACCACCATGCCGTCGCAGAGCAATGAGTATATTTTATGACGAGCGTATTCGGCGTGTATCTATCATTATGGGTATCATTATGGGTCGCCGGAGGGAGTGTGTCTGGTTACCGGAGGCTGATTACCGGCAGACTGTTGCCGTGGGCTGGTTACCGTCAGTTGGTTACCCGCTGCGGCTGGTTACCGAGGGTCGGACCGTCGGTTACTGTCACATGGCGCACATCAACCTCTAGGCGGCGGCCGGTTACCTAGTCAGTGGTTGTTTACCGTGAGCTGGTGGCTGCCGTCTGGTTACTGTCGTCGTTACCCGGCGGCTGGTTACCATGAGGGTTAGTGACTGGCTACCCGTGGGTTCGGTTACCGACTGTCAGCAGCTAGTTAGCTGCGGGTTTTCGCCAGTTAGCAGCTGGTTAGCATCGGGCAACGGCTGACTACTGTCGCCACTTGGCTGGAGAATATCTGCCTCGGCGCCTCCCGAGCCGACGCGGCGCCAGAGCAGTCTGGACCGAAGGGCAGACGCTGGGCAGACCAGTCTGGATCCAAGGGCAGACGTATGACAGGCACGGCAGCTGCCTGGAGACTGGAGTCGTCTGGGCTCCGCTGCGAAATGGCACGCTTCCAGCTCTCTGGAGGCTGTGAGCGCTCAGCACCCCGTGCAGCGAGGCGGTCTAAAAACTTCCTTTGATCAAGGCTCTGGAAACTGATATCACTCTAAACAAGCAGCTACTCACGTGAAACATGTCTCTGTCTGCCGGACATGCCAATTTGACATCACAAATTGAATTTCCGTGGCCAGATTTTTACCTTTTATGCCCTTGTTTGTAATACTTTTTTATTACTTTATTATACGACTGTGGTTTTGACGTATTCTCGTCCCAACTAGTCATCGATTGGTATTTGTTATTATGTAAGTCGCTTTAGGCTAGTTTCGCTAGCTTTTTCTTGCAGTTTTCCATTCATTCCGTCATACCTAATGGAGTTGATAGAATATTGGAAACTCTATTCGGAATCGTCTTTTCAAAGGTATTACAAGTTTACAGTCACATTGTATGCTGAACAACATTTAAATTTAAGAAATTTGAGATGACATTCTACTTGCTTCCTAAAAATTGAAGTGTGTTAAATTCACGACGTCTTGTAAGCAATTTGCATGTCAATTTTTGGACCCTTGCAAAGTTTACGATATCCGTTGCAAAATGGTTTAATGAAAGACGACGACAGTGCGGCACTTTTTCTTCCTCTGTTTTGGCCTAGATGCCTATATCTAGCCATAATTCTTATTTACCATTTTTGTCAATCTACATAGATCTCTGAGATTCGTTGAAGTTGATGGTCGTGTTGACTTTTTCATGCAAATACGCCATAAATGTCACCTTTTTACTGTGATGGTGACGACCATGAAGCAAGTTCTAAAGATCAGGAACCTTATTATCGAAACAGCATGCATAACAGCGAACTTGGAGCAGCTTCATTCATATCATCAACGTACCTGAAACGTATGTTTTACGGCATAGGCCCTAGTTAAACCATTCGATTCGTCAAAGACTCATCGCAATATCATGAAGTTGTAACATTCCCACTCGATGCTCGCATTTTTATCGAAAAAAAAATAAAATATCTCAACTTAACTGTGGATAGGACGATGTCATACTACATGCGCCGTTTCAAACGTATGCCCTGAACCGGATGTTTCATATTCCTATGCATCATCTCTAATATACCTACAGTAAATGCTTTATGTATCGCTTTATAACAAATGAGACGGCTTCTAACCTGAGCGGGGGCTCGTTACGGACGCGTTTCATTTCCTGGCGGCTGATTTGCGGCTCTGGTCGGCGGCGCGGCTGCGCTGCTCTGATACAGCGGCTGATGGGCGACGGCTCGGCGGCCGGGTGGCTGAGTGCAGCGGAGGACGAGCGGCGCCAACTGAAGGGGGCGGCGGGTGCGCGGCCGCCGGCCTACAACGCCGTGTCGCCGCCACAGGTAGTGCACCGAAGGTGGGCGGGTTCAGGTGGGGTCGGTGAATGGTGCAGTTTGATTCGGTGTTGAGTGGAGTTCGGGTTGGTGATAGTGCAACTGGAATCGGTACGGTGCAGATCGGGTCGGTGCTGGGCAGAATTTGTGACAGTGGTGGGTGCAGTTCGGATCAGTGCTGGGTGCAGTTCGGGCCTGTGCTGGGTGCAGTTCGGGTCGGTGCTGAGTGAATGAGCTCGACCCCGAGAGCCAGGGTTGGAGTGTGGGCGCTGCCCGTGCGGTGCATAGCAGTGGTGTGTGCATTTCTGGCGGGTGCTGAGTGCAGTTTGGATGGGATGGGCTTTGGTTTTGGGATATTATTAGCCGTTTTCACGACGGCCATCTGGTACACATTTGGTGCACATTTGGTGCAGATTGGGTGCAAATTTGGTCAAATTAGGTTCAGTGTGTCTCTTAGTAGCTATCATTTGGGGTTGCACTAATTGCATAAATGCCTGCTTTGTCATATTATCAGAGAGTATCGTCGATTAAAACGCTGAAATAAATTCATTAAATAAATATATTTGCTGTAAAAGAGATTAGGTGCAGATTTGGTCAAATTAGGTACACTCGCCGGATAGACCGTCGTGAAAACGGCTAATACTTCTTGACTGTTCTGCCGTACTTACAAAGGCAAAAACGATTACATTCGGGTGACCTGTGGCCTGGTGACGTAATGACCCCTGACCCAACGTAATCGTTTTTACTTTTGCACGGCAGTGTTGGTTACATATTGAAGGAGATGGGTGCATTTCGGGTCATTGGCATTTGCACTTCTGGCCGGCGTTGTGTGCATTTAGGGCGATGCTGAGCTTTAGGCGAAAGAACAGACTGCTTCTCCCTCATATATATTTTGCGGTAGTCGCTAGATGAGCGCCGCTTAGCTCTCTGTCGATGGCGGATCTCCTGTGCCGGAGGCAGCCGCCGGCGCCCCGCGCTCTCCTCAGGGCCGCGTCCGGTCTCCGACAAAGGCAGGCGGCAGCGGAACCGGCACCCCGGCCCGTCGGCACCGGCAGGGAGGGCAACCATGTGTGTGACGACCACAGTCTCACCAACACAGAGAATAAAGACACAGACACACCAGGGCAGAATACGGGCACGGGGACGATACCAAATAATATTGGCTCAAACGGAGCTACAGAAAAGCGGTATTTTTATCCTGCAGACGTCAGTATGTTAAACGGACGTTTTTACTTTGGTCCCTTATTATGCGACCCTGAATGACCTATGTGTGACCCATCCCGTGCTCTCCGCAGTCGCCGCCGGCCGCCACCATGCCGGCCCCCCGCTGGAATCAAGCCAAGAGCTGTCTGAAGACGAACGCGCTCACGCTGCTCACTCTTCTCGGCGTGTTCTCCGGCATCGTGCTCGGTCTGATCCTGCGCACCTCCAGCGACGAGCCATGGTCCGAGCGGGACGCCATGTACGTCTCCTTCGTGGGCGACCTGTTCCTGCGCATGCTGAAGGCGCTCATCATCCCGCTGATTGTGTCCAGTCTGATCTCGGCCGTCGGAAACCTCGACCTCAGCCTGTCGGGCAAGATCGGCGCCCGCGCCGTGGCCTACTACATGCTGACCACGGTGATGGCCGTCATCCTGGGCATCATTCTGGTGGTGGCTATCCATCCGGGTCAGGGCACTGATGAGGGCATCGAGAAAGGCGAGTTTGGCCGAAACACTACCACTGCCGACACGCTGATGGATCTGGTCAGGTGAGTGGGCTGATTGGGTCAGGAAAAGAGGGAAGATGGGATAGAGGTCATGGCCGGTGTTCTTCGCTGTGCCGTCTCAGTAGGACTTGTGCCGCTATAGTAGTCCGTGTGATTATGCTGAGCTGTGTCTCCAACGTTTGTCTGTTGAACTGTGTCTTGTGCCTTGTGAGCTGTGTCTTGTGTCTTGTGAGCTGTGTCTTGTTACAACTGTGCCGAGCTGTGTCGCTATTGTGCGACTGTGCTGAGCTGCATGTCCCTATCGTTTGACTGTTGAGCGGTGTCGTCATCATACAACTACTGAGCTGCGTTCCACGCGTTGGGCGCCTGTCGGCCTCGTTGGCCCGCCCCAGCCGGCTCTCCGGCGCCCGCCAGTGTGGCCGGCCGGCCGGGGAGCGCCACCCAGGGTGCCGGCGGCCGCGGCCACTTCAATTGACTCAGTACGGCGCATCCGGCGTGACACCACAGTCGGTCGGCCCGGCGGCCCGCCTGCGCACCGCGATAGGCGCCGGTCGCGCCCGCTCGTCGGCCCGTGCCCGGCCCCTCGGGTCGGTAATAGATGGGCCGGGCGGCTGTTCTCTCAGCACACCAAGGGCCGTAGCCTGCCGCCGTCCGGTAGTGAAACCAACAGGTGGATACGATGGCTTACGGCCGCTCCAATATCGCCCGAACAGAAGGGATTTATGACACTCTGCAAAACGGCCGCCCCGGGGCTATTTATAGGTCAGAGTTAGACGCATGAAATCTCACACGGCGAGCATTTCCTGGTAATGTTGCGTCGTTTTAAGTCAAGCAGGGAATGGTATTACGTTGAGAGCCACATTGTCGGCATATTTTTCATTCCTCTCGGTAAATGGTGGAGGGAAAGAAGCTTGGTGCCGGTGATATTACGGACGAAAACATGCGAGAATGACGCATTGTACGCTTATCTCACGCTTCCATACATTCGCATGCATCAGTCATATTCATCCTTGCATCCAATTGCATTAGCACATGCCGATCACCGAGACTGGATATCGGAGTTCCCTGTGGCTGGTGTGGTGATGAAAGATAAGTTTTATTAGAGATCCGCCGTTTATTAGAGATTGTGTAAAATTGCTAATGGTGGGTCAGTCAATGGAAATTGGGACTGGTAAAGGGAGTAATAAAGGTCGGGTTTGTCACTGAGTCTGAGGAGCAGATCTACCGGTCACTGGTGGTCAGAGATAAGACAGCGGAGGTCTGCTGGAGATCGGTCGATCACACAGAGTTCCGCTGGTGGTCGGCGTGGCCCCCGGAGACTGAAGAATGCTAGAGGTCGACCGGTCACTAGAGACGCCGTTTGCCGACCGAGCGTCTGCCAAACGTCGGCGCCAAACCAAACGTTGGCCCCGTCCTGACGGCCCGCAGACGGCGAAACATGCCTCCCGCCGCGGCCACCGCCGACCCACACTGCAGTAAATGCGCTGGTCGCGGAGGCAGTGACATACCTTGGCGGGGTGGGCGACAGCGCCAGTGAGATGACGTGCCAGGAACTCTGATGTGTTTAGTTCCTACTCACTCTGGTTTGTTTGTTTTGCGTTTGTAGGACAATTGGCATGTTGTACGGCAAAGAAATAGCGCTAACCCTGTCTACAGAGACGTCAAGGTCCGAGTTATATGAGACAAAAACCACTCCCGGCCCTATAAACCGCGTTGCGCAGCTGTCCTCTGAGACACCCAGACCCTTACTTCATCGGTCACGGCCGCTGCCGATGTGTATGAGTTTTTCAGCTGTCGCTCGGGCTGCAGGTCCAGCGGGGACCACGCTCTGGTGATGTCATCTGCCGAGCACGTCAGACTTTATACACTGAGGGAGGAGGGACGGGGGGCGGTTGGATGCGCACTAGCTACTCGTCAGCGCTGCAGGCTCTAACTAATGCTGAGTGCTGACACCGTCTGCGTGGTTACCGAGCTGCTGCATGCATTAGTTTATGCAGACTACGGGCATATTCTAAAAATCAGCGTGCACCGAAGTTATGGTGAGAGAGGGTGAGCACAAGTTAGAAAATGAATGTTAGCAACCCGAAAATGAATGCTTATAAGTATTCAAATGTAGAGCAAATTTAAATGCACAATAAGCAGAGATATTACGCCACTGGCAAAGTTGACCGAGGTAGTTCGTCTATAGTGATGAAGTCGATTTAGCTTAAAACAACAAATGATCCTCAACGAAACTATTGATATGAATATTACAAAAATTGACAAAATTCGTTTGACGCATATCACGCGAAATATGTTGCTTGAAAGGAAGTTCGGAAGTCCTCCTCGCCTAATATTTCAATGTGCGCGGGTCTTTAGCTAGACCGACAGCCGCAAGCTCACACAGCGTCTTCTAAAAAAAAGTTTGCTGGTCTCAAAGAGAATGTGATTTGGGCAGATAAAAAGGGCTTTGTTCTTCGTACTAACCCAAATAAACGAGATGGATGGTTTTCCTGGCACAAAAAAACCATAAGGTCAAAGTGGGTGTAAAAATGGCACACTGGCTCCACAATAGCTGACTGGTCCACGTTTACCGCGAACGACCCTCAGTGCCACTGTGCTTCAAGTTTTTTTTCCACTGACGTGAGTCCTTCCTATCTGTCCTCCCTACATACACCGTGACTGATTGCTGTCATCGTGACTGACCTTGTCCTTTGCCAGTGACTGATTGTGACTGTCACTGTGACTGGCTTTGTTGCAACTCATTGTTTGAGACTGATTGTCGCTCCGACACTGACTTTTTATCGCTCGTTGTGAGCAACTCGTTGTTGTTCACGCTCGTTGTTCAGTCACAGTTCACACAAATTTCGTTGCAACTCTTTGTGAGCGACTGATTGCCACTCGCTGTGACTGACTTTGACTGTCACTTGTCACCAAAGTCAGTGCTGTGGTTGTCCCTGTAACATGCCGTGGCTGCTGCTGAGACTGGCTGCCGCTCACCGTGGTCGTTGCCCCTCGTTTGTTTGCGCCGGCTAATTGGTCTCATTACCCGAGAGCAGCATGACGCGTCCGTTGTCCCCGTGATTGGTGAGGCTCGGGCAGGCGTGAACGCCCTGCATCGCGACGGAAGTGATTGGCGACGACAGCCTCGACGATCATTTACCGCGTCAGGGCAATGTGGCAGACTTCCGGCTAATGATGGCATTCGATCGATGTTTCTGTGAAAATTTGCACAGTTGTCATGCTGCACATCCTGTATCGCGGCGTGCTTTGTCGTTTGTCTCATTGCCTTGGTGTCGTTCCTGTTTTCTGGGCGGTCCGTCGCTGGGCATGCCATGAACCCGTGAGTTGTGTCCGGGAGTCAGAGAGTGTCTCCTCACCGTAGGCTCCGCATACAAAGGCGGTGCTCGCAGCCCTCTTTATAGTCATCAGAGCGATGGTCTACCGGATCCAGACCCCTGACCTTTCCCTTGCACCCACACAAATACGGTCGGATTTCGGTAAAAAGTTCAGAAGCTTAACCCGCGCGGGGCTGGGGTCTCCAGCCGAACGCGCGGGGCTGGGGGGGGGGGTAAATTTTACCCCCCCCCCCCCTGTTATCTCCCGAACTAATGGTCCGATTTGGAAAATTCAAACGCCAATCGAAAGCTCTCATCACGAACTACTAAAAACATGTACTTAATTTAAAGTTTGAGGTCAAGGTCAAGGTCAGGTCAAGGGTACTAATTGCAAGTTTCTACAGTATCGGCCTTGCACCGTAGTTGCCGAAGAAAGGAGTCATGGACTGAGACTGATCGCCCAAAACGTGTTCTTAGGCTACCAAGACAATATTCGTTGCATACAATATCATTCAGAAGTCAAGGTCAAGGTCAGGTCAGGTCAGGTCAGGTCACCAAAAAACAAAATATAGAAAAGGGCATGTGCGACACATGTTTTATGGGTCATTTTACTCATAGAATTCAATAGGCACACTCAATAAGTGATATGGACCACCTCTGGATGAATTTCAGGTCGAGGTCAGGTCAAGGTCAGGTCAAGTGAGGTCAAATTTTGAAGTTGGTTGTTAAGGCCTAAAAAGGTGTCTATCTGATGCAGTTTTTCACGGCAAATCGAATGGTGCTATTTTTGTTTCCGTGCGAGGTCTAGAACTTCCAAAAAAGTCATTTTTCAAAAATTTTGTGTGTCGTGACGTCATAAAATTTTGAATAACTCCCACATTTTTGAACCGATTCTTCTAAAATTTGGTATGTAGGTGCACATAGACCACTTCTCTGACATTTATTCCGGTTTTTTCGATAGACTCAAAATTTTGGATTTTATAATGATTTTCCCAAAAAAATCAGTTTTTTGAAAAAATTTAGGCCAAAATCCAAAATTTTCAAAAAACCGAGATAGCCATTTGATAGACAAAGTAAAATTACGTATAACCTTTTTTGTTACGTCTTGATTCCTTTAACCCGCGCCGTGCTGGGGGGGGCGTTTTTACGCCCCCCCCCCCTCAGGTTTTTCGCGAATATCTCAAAAACGGCAGCGCGCAGCGCCGCCGTTTTTGGTACACGTGTTCCTACATCATTTCCGCACATGTTGTGAAAATTTCAGACCTAGGCCGTTCAAGGTCCGGTCACCAGGTCACGTCAAGTGACCTTACCTCAGAAAAAGTTCAAAGGCTCGCTATAGCTACACCGACTGAACGATCACTTTGAAACTTTCAGCGATTGATATGAGTAACAGTATGTATAAAATGTTTATCTCGGATTTTTGATATCTGTGACCTAAGGTCAGGTCAATTTTGCGACCTCTCCATTATAAGTCAATGGGAGAAAATTGAAATGCGCCTCTTTTGGACGAATATCATTCAAAACGCTCTCAAACATCGGTTCATAGGTAAACATGACACACTGAATAGGAAAAATGCACCTGTGACCCCTCTGTGTGCCCCTGAGGTCATCTCAGGTCATGAACGGTCGCCAGCAGTTTTTTGGCTATAACTTTTGATAGAGACGTGCTAGAGCGGTGAAAACACGTCAGATGTGTTCAGCTCGACGATACGGATCGACTGATATGCAACATGACCCTTTTCGGTCAGGTCATGACCTTGACCTGAGGTCAAATTTTCAAAATGACCTTTCAAGGTCAACGAATAGTTCATTCGACGCGTCTCGACGAGAGGAACACGATGCTGGCAAAAGTAATGTCATGGCGCTTATGAGTCAAAAGTTATTGACGAAAAAACGTTTTTCGTAAAAACGGCTATTTTTGGAGTTTTTGCCCTCTGGAGGCTAAACCGTTGACCTGAGGTCAAATCTGAGAACATTACTCAGAAAGGTCTGTAAAAGGGCTATCGAATGCGCTTTTCCGCGGCGCTGTAGCTCTATCGGTTCCCGAGATAGCCGTTGGCAGTTTCCAAAATGTTGAAATAGTCAACATTTTACCTTTGGTGACCTCTGGTGACCTGACCTTTGACCTGACCCAAAAAATGACCGAAGTGTTTTCGTCCTTATTTTTGACGCTCTTTCGATTGCCGCTTACCGCGTGTCGCTACGTGGCCCAGGAGCCGAGTTAGACGGGGGGGGGCGTGAAAACGCCCCCCCCCCCCCCAGCACTCGGCGGAAAGTTCAGGCCACCAGCACGGCGCGGGTTAAAAATGAAGATGTTAGCGGCGTTTGAACTTTTGCCGTTTTTGAGGCGAAAATGGCGAACATGACGTCACTAAAACGTTGATTTCTCAAAAATTTTCCGACGGATTTTGCTCAAATTTTCAGGGAACGTGTCAAATTGATGTCAGAAAAGGTACTGAAAGTTTGGCGGCGCTGCGCGCCGCCGTTTTTGAGATATCGCAAAAATTCGCGAGGGGGGGGGGGTAAATTTACCCCCCCCAGCCCCACGCGGGTTAAGTAAATCGCGAAACATTTCCCAACCCTTATTGATCTTAGGGAGGAGATGAGCTCTTCCAAATGCCTGTCTCAGTCGAGGCACTGCCCAAAATTTGAACTATTTCCTTCACTGGCCTACATATTGTAACGTTACTTATAAACATAGTACCCTAACCCAATAAACTCTGATATCACTTCCAGCTCGGGTTGCGTGCGTGGCCCGGCGCCCGCTGTCGCCCATGCCCACTAATTAATTACACCATTTCCGACCACTGCACCGTGCCGGTTCTGTGAGCTCGCCGCCGGAGTGTCACTTTCCACCACAGTAAACTTGCCCGGGTTCCATGAGACGTCACTTCCGGCACCGGGTTACACCCGCTTTGTGACCACCCGTCCAGGCCCTGTCTCTGATAACTCAGCGTATAGCGTGGTAAACGGTCAGCCACCAAACGTGTAAGGTTGCCTAAATTTCAGTGGCGGCGGAATAGGGGGTGCGGGGGGTGCAGCTGCACCCCCATCGAAAAACATGGGGGTGCAAACATATCTTTTTGCACCCCCAAAATCCGTACAAGGGGCCCGTCGCACCATCCAATACATTTTCTCCTGAAAACCAGTGATCGGGAAACGAACACTGATATCCGGGATGTCCAATTATGGCCAGGAGTGCCCCATGCTAGTCTTTGGGACCCCACACCGGCTAGAAGTGTCCCAACTCCAAGCCGCGTTTGGTGCTCCATGCGGCATCTGAGGGCCCCCACGACGGCCTCAGAGGGCCATTTTATGACGATCTCTGAGGGCTCCCACGACGACCTGTCCCTTGGGGCCCTACAACGGCCACTAAGGGCCCTTATGACGACCGCTGAGGGTCCCACAGAGACTCCAGGGCCCCAAGGAGACTCCAGGGGCCACGCTGGCCTCTGAGGGCCCCTATGACGGCCTCTGAGGGCCCTTACGATGATCTCTGAGGGCTCTCACGACGACCTCTGTCCCCTGGGGCCCTATAACGACCACTAAGGGCCCTCATGACGACCGCTGAGGGTCCCACAGGACTCCAGGGGCCCGCTGGCCTTTGAGGGCCTCTACGACGGTCTCTAAGGCCCTCGTGACGGTCCTAGACCCAACTCAAGTCCGAGGGCCCATTTGGCTTCAGACGGCCCAGCGACGGCCTCTGAGGGCCCCAACACAACCAGGCTGCTGGCATCTGAGGGCCCTGCAACGGTCTATTGAGGACCCTAACGATGGCCTCTAGCGGTCTTACCAAGGCCTCTGAGAGCCCTGCAAAGGTATCTGAGTACCCATGAAGACCCTCACTATGGCCAAGGACCCTCAAACGACCTCTGATGATCCTCTCGAAGGCTTCTAAGGGCCCTCACAACAACTTCTGAGGACCCCAGGACGGTCCCCGAGGGGCTGAGGGCCCTGACGACGACCTCTGTGGGCCCTCACGATGGTCTTTTAGACCCAACGCAAGCTCCAAAGGCCCACGCTGGCGTCTGAGGGCCCCACGACGGCCTCTGAGGGCCTCGATGCAGGCAGGCTCTAGGGGCCATGCTGACCTCTGACTTCTGAGAGCCCTCTTGACGGCTTCTAGGGCCTAACGAAGGCTTCAAGGGCCAACGCTGGCCTCTGAAGAACCCTACGACGGCCTCGGAGGGTCTCAACTCAACGCAGGCAGGTGCCAGGTGACATGCTAGCCTCTGAGGGCCCCGCAGAGTTCAGATTCAGAGGACCCAACGACCTTTGTGGACCTTACGAAATACGAAGCTCTCTGAGAGCTCACGCAGGCTCCTGGAATTCCACACTGATTCTCAGTCCCCATGTCGGCTTGTTGAGGCACTTTATCTGCTCTTGGTGCCCCGTCGCCGGCCTCTGAGAGTCTCAATGTCGGAACTTATGAGGCCATGGGCCCTACACCGGCTTTTATGGCCCCTACATCGACTCTTGGGACTCATGACCCGTGAAATGTGGGTCTAAGCGGCTTCTAAGAATCCCCATGCTGGTTCTAGTAGCCGCCAGCCGAATATTTGGGCTCACACGCGAGCTCCTGGGACCCCGTGCATACTCGAGGGGTCTACCTGCCTGTAAGACCCCACGCATACTTTTGAGGCTCAAACGCTTGCCCCTGAAGGCCCCACTGAGACCCCTTTCCTCTATTCAGTTCTCCATACCGGCTCTTTAGGCTAAACATTGGCTCATGTGGCCTCCATCCCGGCTTTGGAGGGCCTCCATACAGGCTTTTTTGGGGTCCGATGCCGGTTTCTGAGAGCCCTCAAAAGACTTTCGAGCCTATACTGCCTTCTGAAACCTTTCAGCAACTTTTAAGGGACCGACCCTGATCGGAGGGCTCATTCAGTCTGGGGAGTCATGTAGGTCTCTGGAGGAGTCTCTATGTGGTCGGTTTCCAAGGGGCTTCTAAACACGGTCAATTCTTGGAACGGTCTCGTAGGGCCCTCAATGGTCCACTGCGGATCCAGAAAAGTGGTTTGAGACGCTGCGGGTGGTGGGTAGACTAAAAGATTAGCCGATAAAAACTAGCTGCATTTGCTTCTTTATGCTTTCATTATTTGAGATAGGTAGGTACACTGCAATTTCAAACATTTTGCAGAACTTGTGTGTATGGGGATAGTTTTCCAAAATCTTCGTTTTCCATAAATCAATAATAATCACTAAAAAAAAATGAAGGGGGGCCCAAACTTCCAGAGGGGCCCCTCGAGAAAACTTTGCACCCCCATCCAAAATTACCTTCCGCCGCCACTGCTAAATTTCTACCAAATGAGCCTAAAATATCTGACCTCAGAGTAAGTAGGCATAACTCTACGGAATGACTCGGTAAATGTTTGTACTGCTGGCCGTGAGTCGGTCTGATGTGAAATGATGGTCTGTTTTCGTTTCAGGAATATGTTTCCGCCCAACCTGGTGCAAGCAGCCAATTTCCACGTAAGTTGCGGCAATATTATGCCTTATTAATGTCGGATCATTCTTGACATTTGTGTTATTTTTTTTAAAGAATGCCCTAACCATTGGTCTTAATTTTCCTTGCCCTTGACATCATCTCCGACGAACCTTTTTAAGCACGTTCGTTGTATCGGTTATTCATGTATGAAAGTCTGCTTGCAGAAATCCAAACTTGGCGCAAACATGGCGCCATCACATACCGCTCCGTGGCTTTAATAATTAAGCCACGCTAATTAACTATCCCACCCACCTGTGCGCCTTTCCCAACATACGCTCGACCCTCCGACCCGACGCGACCGTCTGAGTCACCAGCGGACCCAATTGTGTGCTTCCACCTGTTCCCTCGCTATCCACCCGCGGACGTGCGGTGTTTGGCTCGTATACCGTCCCTCCCCTCCCACACCTCCCAGCGCTGGTGGTGGTCGCCGACCGCTGCCAACGAGCCTCTAGCAGACGCACCCCACGACCGTCGACAGCCTCCAGAGGACTCCAGCGCCCTCCCCCCACCCACCCCCACACTGATCCGCAGCTGTCAAACTGTGAACGCGTCTCCAAGGCCGAGGCGGCGTCTGCAGAGGCGGCCATTTATTTCAATCGACGCAATTGGCAGCGTCGGGCGGGGTCGAGAGAAGTCGGAGACCTGGGGACTGCGTTGAGGCTGGAAATGACACACTGCACACAGAAAAATATTGACACCGTTAGCGGTGTAATTGCACAGTACATATCTGAGCACTTGAGGAAAGTTAATTTAGTCCCTTCCCCGCTTAAATTACTCGCGCTTCCAAATGAACACCAGGAAGAAGGTAATAGAACACTGTTAGGAGGGTTGGGTGTTTTACTACATGTATTTTACTACATGTACTACATGTAGTAAAACACCCAACCCTCCTAACAGTGTTCTATTACCTTCTTCCTGGTGTTCATTTGGAAGCGCGAGTAATTTAAGCGGGGAAGGGACTAAATTAACTTTCCTCAAGTGCTCAGATATGTACTGTGCAATTACACCGCTAACGGTGTTAATATTTTTCTGTGTGTGGGGACGCTGGGCGGGGCGGCAGATCGCTGAAAAAGACTTGACGGCTGGATTTTGATAAAGGATGGGTGGAAAGAAGAAAAGACTGAGACGGATGGAGAGTAGAGAAGGCTGAAGATGACTGGAAACGTATAGAGACGGCTGGACCCTGGACGCAGCTGAACGAACGCAGAACGTTGAGACAGCGTTGCAGCATGGAATGATGGGCACGGCAGGAGACGGCTAAACACTTGTACGGCTGCACGGGTGGACGGCTGAATCGTCTTACGGCTGGGATGTCATTAGGTGCCAGCGACTGAACCCAGCTCACAATTCGCCAGGTCAATGTCAGAGCACTGTCTCCGGTCACTGGTCATTGGATAATGTTAACAACATCCGCTGGCCATTCGCCACTAGACACTGGACGGCGACCACGGACGCCAGCGACTCGACTGACCTCATATCACAGCTAACTGATAAATGACCGAGCAACAGCTGGGCAGTCGGCCGGGGTTCCTCGAAACGCGATTGGACTATTTCCGACCTCGGATGGGATGTCGTGTGGCTATTTGTGTGCGGCGCCACACTCTGAAGCGGGTGGGTCGAGGCCAGCAAACTTAACATGCACCACCGCACCTCTGAGCCGGACAAATCCGACAGATGAAATGAAACCGACCTCATTGTCAGGACGCCATTCGCACCGAAACGGCCACATCCGATTTATGTCTTGCAATAAGACAGGACAGCCTGACATTAACATTGTTTCGAAATTTCAATGTTGACACGATCTAAAGCAGTGTATCAGTTTGCATAGCGCAGTAGTCATTCGTGTCTCCTATACCACCCATAAATTGAATTAAATGTAACAGTGACACTGGTTCGCTTGATAACTGCTTGCCACCTAAGCAATGACATTTATGACATTCAGTGATATCATTAACGTCAGCAGACGCTTTGCTAGATGTTCATGGATTGTTTTTACACTGAAAAGGATGACATGCTACTAGTATATTGCTCGGTTGATCGGTAAAATAGGAAGCTGAGTGACTCACTACGATGAGGTGACCTGTGCTCTGGTGTTTTGTTTCAGTATCGAACTGTGCTCATCACACCCACTGAAGAAGATGAGGAAAAGTATCGACAAAAGGTCGGCAACGACTCGGCCAGTAAGCATAGCCAGACGGAAAACACACATCATTTTACTTTTCGTACCAGCTTCTATGTAATCCTGACGTGACTCGATTCCCACATGTCATAGCGCTGTAACTAACTTGATCGTGACCTGACCCGATCATTACTCTATCGTAACCTGACATGAACTGACCGATGTCCGCTTTGACTTCGGTGTGCCCCGACTTGACCTGGCCCTCTCTCGCCTCCGCAGACATACCGGTGAACATGTTCAAGATCAGTGGCCAGTACAGCGAGGGCGCCAACATCACCGGTCTGGTCGTGTTCTCCATCGTCTTCGGCATCGTCATAGGCATGATGAAGGACCAAGGCAAGATCCTGCTGCAGTTCTTCTCAGCTCTGTCCGAGGCCATCATGCACCTGACCAGGATCGTCATCTGGTGAGAAAGCGCGATCGAGACTTGAGATGATCTTGGGCTAACTAAATGGATGATGAACAAACTATTGAATATGTGTCGCTGATCTGCATTGAAACGTAGTGTATCATAAAGTAATTCTAATTTGCTTAGTCCATACCCTGCATTTCCGCCATTCATTCTATGTACGCCAGCTGCTCATCCATCAGTGTTACGCATCAAGTTTCGTTTTTGACTTATCCTATTCGTTTCCGTTTGGCTTATGTTTTTTAGTGCACATTTACGATGCTCATCTTTCATTGTTCAATGCCGTGTTTCATATCCTTAAACTGCCCAGTTTCCGGGCGCCGCGCTAGACTCGCCCGTCCCGTTTCCCGTGAAGTGGGTGAAATACGAGGGGTTTGGCTGCCACTGGCGTCGCGGCTGCCTTTGATGAAGTGTCGGAGGGGCTGCGGCCGTCATCTCAGACCGCCCCCGCCGCATACGGAATGGGCCGGCCGCGCTGGTACCGAAACCCGGGAGCGGCCGCCGAACGCCGCGGGACAGCCTTCATTACAGGATCCGGCTGCCGTTTTGGGTAGCTCCAGTCGGAATTCAGCGGCTGATTTTGGCAGCGAGCTGAGCGCTGTCTCCACCCACGCTGCCGACAGGCTCTCCCCCGTCGGCGTGTGCTTCCTGATCGCGGCCAAGATCCTGGAGCTGAAGTCGTTCTCTGTGCTGCTGGGCCAGCTGGGCATGTACTTCATCACGGTGCTGGTCGGCATCCTGGTGCACGGCTTCATCGTGCTGGTGCTTATCTACGTGCTGATCGTGCGCGAGCTGCCGTTCCGCTACATCGCCAACATCAGTCAGCCGCTGGCCACCGCCTTTGGCACATCATCCAGGTCAGTGCGCGTGTCGCGACTGTCACCTCACCATCGCGTCGCTCCCTACCGGACAGCGAGCTATGATATGCAATCAGGTGATCCTCAGATCTTTGGCCATGACCCGTCTGACTCGTTGACCTTTGAGATATACATGACTTATACCTATCTTCTTCTCTGACCTATTTGACCTCTGCGATATCTGTGACCCTTTTGACCTACGTGACCTATGTAACCGTTCTGATCCGGTGACCTGTGTAACCCCTCTGACCCTGTGACTACCCTGACCTGTTGACCTGTGACCCCAGCTCGGCGGCACTGCCGCTGACGATTGCCGCGCTGGAGGAAAAGAACGGCGTGGACTCTCGCGTGGCCCGGTTCGTGCTGCCCATCGGCGCCACCATCAACATGGACGGCACGGCGCTGTACGAGGCCGTGGCGGCCATCTTCATCGCCCAGGTCCGCAACGTCAGTCTCGGCATCGGAAGCATCATCGCCATCAGGTGAGCAGCACGGGCACATTGTCAGATACATGCACCAGATGCTGTGATGTGTAGGATAATCACTGGATCCCAAAGTCCGCCTGTCGGCAAAACCTGTCTTACTGCCGCTACCAGCACAGTAAGACAGGCACCACCCAGTACAAGTCTCAGTAAAGATCAGTACCCGACCGGCGACCAGTGCCGCTCTCATCACAGCACAGTACCCCCAGCCAGTGCCGCTCTCAGACTCAGCAAAGTACTCGTCCAGTACCACTCTCAGCACAGCACACTATTTACCACCCAGCGTTACTCTCAGCACAATAGGTATCAAGCCGTCCAATACCGCTCTCAGCACAGTATCAAGCCGTCCAATACCGCTCTCAGCACAGTATCAAGCCGGCCAATGCCGCTCCACCGGCCTCCATCCATCTTCACCCGCGGTGCCGCCTGTCGACACGACCGGCTGATTAGAGACCAACTGCCAGCGGCCGCAAGAAACAGCGCCGCTCAGAGCCGGCGGCCGCAGAAATGGCCCCGACGGCAGAGGAAATGGGGCGCCGAACCTCGGCGGGGCGCGCGAGGGAAGGCATAAGGCTGTTACTGATGACATGGATCGCTGGCTCCGTTTAAAGCACCAGTATATGCAAACCACCTTTTCGGATTGGTTTGGAGTTCCATTGGTTTTGGCTAATTGTTTTGCCATGCTGCCATCAGTGAAATGATTTGGATTGTACCCATTTTTCTCTTGTTTATCCCTGAAAGAGCTGCCATGGTGTGTCAAAAGTGGAAATAGCCGCCCGGCTTTAGTTCGCCAGCCTTGTCAATAGATGGCAGTACCACAATATGGGCAGCGGATCGTGCAATTGACGTCAAATTTTCGTTATCTGCTAAGAATTGAATGGCGGATCTTTTCATGCAAGAATCATGTAAATCGGTCCACAACTTTTCTAGCAACAGAGATATGAAGTCAAACACCCTGCCAGAGCGGCGGCGCGCGGCCGACGGCGGCCGTTACGCGCCGCCTGGGAGACTGGCGGCGCTGAACGGTTCCGACTTGGCACTGCACTAAAACCTGTTAACTGCTTGGAATGGTTATTATAGCAACATTTTCATTCAAGTGAGGGATAACCAAGGGCAGGAAGTATGTATGCTTGTGTGCGTACTGTGTAAGCCAAGAAACTGCATTAGCAGATACTCGCTAATATTAGATCCAGCCAAGTCCAAACGCATTCCAGGGGATGTGTTCCTGATGGGTCAACAATATTTATCGTTCGAGGGCGGATACAGTTTTAACAATACAAATAATATTTTTGCACAACTCTATTCCTTGAATAATTCTCTTCAACGCCTCATTCCTAGTTAAGCGAATTAGCCCACCCTGGTTGAATAAATAAGGCGATTTCGCCACAAGGTCGCGGAAAACCGACCGAAAACGGCCGCGCTCAGCGTTAATTTGGGCATGCAGACTCTTAAATACTCGCATTGGGCGGGTAGGGTTTCCCAGGTATTGGCTCCAAAAATCCGTATTCGGCTACCGAATACGTCCAAGTGACCCGCCTCGTTCCTAGTTGAGCTCTAATTAGATCAAGTGACTCATAAGGAGCGAAAAAGCGACAAAAAGCATGAATTTCCCTATGGCGGCGGGCTGCCGGGTTGCCAGACGGCGCACCGGCTATTTCCACTTTTGACACACCATGAAGGTTTTTTTCCCAAAAGCAATGCGACCCAAATTTGTCCATCAGAACCTGGCCAAATTACATTGGCATTAAAGCGTCATGACAAAGACACGACACGTCATTACTCACACCGAGCGCGTAGAGACCGCACATCTCACCGGCGCGTCCGGGCCCCACTCTCTCGGCCCGATATGCACTAGCGCCGGTGAATATTTACCCTTATATTGCAGTTCAGCCATGATAACCCCGTAAGTTGCCAGTCGAGTTTGATAGGCACTTATACAGGGGCATATTGGCCGGACCATCAATCACGGATACATATTGCATGCTGCCATATTTCTTGGAGCAGTGTTTCATTTTGTCATATTTCAGCAACTGGTGCGGCATTTTGTATGTGAGCTGGCGCTCTGTCGCCGCCCGCTCCTTGCTCTCTCTGCTCTCTCTCTCTCCTGCTGTGGTCGGTCTGGCCGGTGGCAGACGGGACCGTCTGGCGCCGCCGCCGTCGGACGGAGCGCCGCACGGGTTCCTGTTACCGGCTGGACGCGCACTGGCCGGTGCAGAAATTATCACCACCGGCCATGGTCGCAGAAATACGGGCAACTCGATCGGAGACACAATTAAGCCCATAGCTCTATCTGTCCAGCGCTAATGGAGTCTGGAAGAAATATCGGGCGGCGGCCACAAAGGCGGGCGCTAAATGGTCGGTCCGTGGTTTGGGTTTCGCGCAGCAGTTCCATGGGCATTTCGTCACTCCGCCACCACGCACCGCAGAGGTCCGAGATTAGGGGGCCCAGAGGGAGATGTTTTGTTCAGACATAAGAGCTGGAAGTTCGTTGGTGAATAAAAACGAGCAACATTATGCCTGCAATGCCTATGCATCAACAGTCAGAGCTCGTTACTTTATTTCAATGGACAGAAACAGCAGCACAGTCGTACCTGTGATGTTTTAGCCGAAAGGATGATCGGTATTGTCAGGTAAACCTGCGTGGGTAGTCCACCCGCAGATATCCGGTGCATTGCGGCACAGCCTACCACCTGCATTACTCTCCGAGCCGTCCGCCGCGGATCGAGAGGCGGACCCAGAAAGCAGAAACTTGCCGCATAGGTAAACTTGAAAGCTGACATTATGTGAAAATGTTCGAAACCCCGAAGTTTGCTGTGTTAAAAGGCCACTTCGGGCTATGATAACTCTATGATGTTACCGAAAATTGAAACATTAATTTGAACAAACCCATTAATTTCTATCATTAGCAATGGACAGTCCAGGGCTGCGGAGTCGATGGATTTTCGGCGACTCCGACTCCGACTCCGACTCCGGCTTTCAAAAACCAGCTCCGACTCCAACTCCGACTCCGGGCAGAATTGTCGACTCCGACCGACTTCAACTCCCGACTCCGACTCCGCAGACCTAGCAGGGCTGCGGAGTCGACAGATTTTCGGTGACTCCGACTCCGGCTCGGGTTTCTAAAATCGACTCCGACTCCGACTCCGACTCCGGTCACAACTGTCGACTCCGACCGACTCCGACTCCGACTCCGACTCCGACTCCGCAGCCCTGATGGACACCAACATCTAAATATAGTTGACACCTCATTTACAACGTATTTCGATTGATGATGCCTATTCAAATGATGTGCAGCAAAGTCAATGAACAAACGATTCAACATGATCACCAAATGATCTGTTCCTGGAGACGGTCGATATCGTGTTTGGAATCGAGCAATTTAATCATTTTGCATCGTTATTCCATTGGTCCATTAACCCCAGTTATCTCATGAGCTTATCACGAATGGATAAATGACAGCCATTACCCAAGATGATCCTAATAAAGCAGCATTGCACAAACGCAGCTTGAATATTCGTACGCTCTCTGCCTCCGGAATAGTACCCATAGACTATATCCATTAATTAATCATGCATCAATCATAAGGTAATCATCAGCAGTTTCTCGCGATGACTTATCTAAGCAATGTATGGGTTCCTTATAAATGGCAAGCCGTTAAGCCGCAACTATCGTAAAGCTTTCATTTCACGTATGAAGTCATAGTTAGTGTTCTGACCCGGGACAGCTTTGGAAATGTGATTAAATAGATGGACCACTATATCTCACTCAATACACCTTCGTTTATCACTAAGTTGTACGGGATGGTTATAATCGACTTTCGCCGAGGATCAGCTTAATGATGATTTACGTAGGTATAGGCCTTGGTAGTTGGTCTTGGTGTACAGAAATAGGAAAGACGAATATCGTATCGTGTTCAAACACGATTTAGCTTTAACTGTTAGTTTGCAACCTACAGGAAGAAGATAACGCGACCTTCTAACTTTGTGTCTCCGACTAGAAGACTTACCACATTGCAGTATGTCATTACAATGCACAACACGGCAGTACCACAAAATGCGTTACGTAACTTGAGCATGCTCAGCCATCAGTCCTGGCAGAACTCAATTATGTTCTCCTATCACCACAGGCCGGCGTGTTAGTGCAGTTCATGAGAGCAGAGCCTTCTCGCGCGCTGCTTCTCAACACCCGGCTCGGCAGTTTGGCGAACGCCTGCGTGGGTAGACTACCCGCAGACGTCCGGTGTACTGCGGCACAGCCTACCACCTGCATTTCTTTCCCAGCCGTCCGCCGCGGGTCGGCGTGAAGCAGTTCGGCGCACCTGTGACCTGATAATCGCTCTTTCTGTCGGTGCAAAAACGTTTGTCGTTGAAATCAGCACATATGTTCCATGATAGATTACAGACTGATTTTATCAGTCATTGGGTGTGACTTTATGCAGTTACTAAGGCCGTGAAGCTTGCCTTCGGATGATGGATTTCTTGGAGGCGATGTGATCGTCCAACTTTGAGTTCGAACGTCTGGCCGAGTCTACGAACCTATCAATTTGACATTTATTTTTGTAAAGTCACGTTTAGTGCTTTGTTACGTAACGAAAGCGTCATACAATAGAATTCACAGGATAAATTAAATGGAATTGTCAAATATCGATACATAGGTACATTTGCCCTGCTGATTTTTATATCACGTTTAATCAAAGACGTCATTGGCAATAAACATACATAATGTGTTGCTTTTCATTCTGTTCTAATCTCTGTACCTGATTCATACATATGCAATGCGTGCAGCTTTGTACCAGTTGTGTGAATGTTGAATCTAGGCTGATTCAGCCGTTCAATTCGCTGGCTTGCATCGCTGGGTCACGGGGTAAGCGCCGATGGAAGACAGGTGTTGTCGCAAGTGGTATAGGACCGACGGACGCGCAGCTCAGCGTAGGACTCAGATAGCTTCAATGTCGGTTCCGCAGTTCACAAGGAAGATAAAACTGGCAGTTTTACTGGCAGCTCCATCGACAGCTTAGCTGTACTTGGAAAATCAATGGCAGTTCTTCTGTTGCGTCCAACGGCACTCAGCAGTTTCACATTAGGCATCTCGGCAAAATTACTATCTAGCATCTGTCTTGTCCGGGGGTGTTAGTGGACGGTACTGGCAACCGTGGCTCATCACCCTTCCTATGCACGATAAAAGAGACGAGACAGGCAGACACGCAGAGCTCAAGGAGAAACTGTTCTGCAGCTCTGACCAATGTTACAGCTCATCGACTACAGTTCCTCCCCAATGTTACAGTTCATCTGTTGCAGTTCCCGACCACCATTTTATCTCATCTGTTGCAGAACCTGTCCAATGTCACAGCTCATCTCCCATGTTCTCTGACCGCTGCTAACCGTTATGTGTCGGTGTGTTTCAGTATCACGGCGACGGCGGCCAGTATCGGCGCGGCCGGCATCCCTCAGGCGGGTCTGGTTACCATGGTGATGGTTCTGGATACGGTCGGACTGCCGGCTGAGGATGTCTCGCTCATCATCGCCGTCGACTGGCTCCTGTGAGTATCAGACCGGCGACTGCCAGTTCCAAGTAACAGTCCCACCCCTTCCCAGCCCGCTTAGCACAGATATTGACTGTGGTGAGCATCAGAATACGGGCGCTACATCCCGTCTGTTCATCAGTACCTACCAGAAACTGCCCCACTCCTTTACCAGTCCGCCTAGCACAGCGATTGGCCCCTGTGAGTAAAACAGATATTCTACCCTCATCCCCTCGGCTTGACCCGATCCTTTTTTGCGTTACCAAACGCGCATTAGCCATTCTGCGAAGCGTTTTCATTGTTGTGAGTTTGACGCCAGCCTGTATCGGCAGCGATCGGTTCCGGACCACCATCAACGTGCTGGGCGACTCTCTGGGCGCCGGCATCGTCAACCACCTGAGCAAACAGGAGCTGGCGAACATCGAGCACCGCGCCGACACCGTCACCGCCAAACTGGAGGGCGGCGAGAACGGCATGGAGGCCACTCCGCTGTGAGCGCCCGCCGGCGGCCAGCGCTGTACAAACGGGGGCACCGGCCCCGAGACCCGGCGGCACGCGCGGAGGGAGAGCCGCTCTGAGGATGGGTGAGAGAGACGAAGCGCGTGTGAGAGTTAGGCGTGTGTGGGAGAGAACCGCTCTTCCGAGTGTTAGAGACTGAGAGACGCGTTCTCCTGAATGTGTGACCGGAAGAAGCGTTCTTGTGAGGGTGGGTGTGACCAGGAGACGCGTTCTCCTGATGTCGTAACTGGACGAAGTGTGAAAAGACTGAGCGTGCTTTAGCTGCGAGACTCGCTCCCCTAATTGTGTGTTATCGAGAGACCGCGCGTGACTGGAATGACCCGCTGACCCCAGGGGGTATTAGAGAGAGACCATCTCTCTCATAATGACGTAACTTGGAGGCATGCTTATTTGGACGTGCGTGACCGACATTTCCTCTTCTGAGTGTTTTACTCGGAGGAGCGTTTGCCTGGCTGGGATAACCCACTGGCCAGAGCGTGTATGACTGGGAGGCCCGTTTCGATGCTAATAGTGTATATTCGGAGTCAGGAGACGCACTTATCGGAATGCGTATATAATTCGGAGACCAGCTCCCAAGAGGATGCAGTGTCAGTATCGCGCTCTCGGGAGAGTGAGTGAGTGGAAAATGCTCTTATTTGCGGCGTGTGTGAGCGGTGGACTCTTGCCCGCAGTGTTCTCTGTGTCGATCGTAGGCTCCCGTTGTCGCTGGGAGTCTGCTGTGCGGATAGCGGCTGTCCCGCAGCCGCTCGCATCTGTAGACGATGCCGTCAGTGGGCTGCTCGGCGCCGCGCCGGCCGCGCCCCGTACGCCGGGCCTTCCGACCCCCCGCCGCGTCTGGTGTCCCCCCCCCCCCGCCGCGACCGTGACGCCGAGTGGCTGCCGCGGCGACTCCTCATTGTACCGAGCGAAACTCGTTTGGCCCCATTGGATAATTGCCACATGAGGGCGACTAATTCAATAGACGAGCGAGTGAGCGCAAACGGCGTGTGGCGCCCTCGACTGTTGGCGTGTTTGGAGGCTGACGGAGTGCTCTGGTGATGAAGCACGCTGAGATCGGTCCTGGACCCCTCGCTGCCACTGCGCCTCTCATTGTGACCATTTAACATCTCTGAGTGAGAGGAGCGGCCGAGGGGGTGACAGGGGGCGGGCGGTAGGCTGTAGCCGGCTCGCACTGGAATGATGGGACGGTGGCAGAAGAGCGTACACTACTTCCGTTCACCGCCGATACGCTCTGTACGGATATGAGTACAGTGTACACCGCCTGAAGCTTTGGCCATGCATCTAACATCAGTCCCATTTTGATGCGGAACACCTAAAGTTATGGTAAAATTAAGTTATCGTCTAATTGTACGAGGTCAGAGGTGATCAGGGGCGGTCGCAGACTTGGAGTTTGGGGGGGGGGGGCAACTTGGCAAAGGGGCCCCTGCGCTGACTCAGGAGGCCCGGTGCTAGCTTAAAGGGGCCCACGGGCGTAGTGCACGGGTGCAGAAATCCAGGCCATGGCCGGTGAAGCGGGGGGGGGGGGGGGGGGGGGGGTAGGGAGCGGCACTCGAGCGGAGGCTCATTGCGAGCTTTGAGGATGTTCCATGTCGAAAAGGTACCGATAAGTGCATTTTAAAGCATTGATAATGCCAAGAACTCACGCAAATGTGAATGGACTACCGCAAAAGTAAAGACGGCTAACTTTGCCATTTTCTGAGATCATCGTGCTAAAACTTTTGACAGTGGGTCATCGGTATCTATTCACTGTTCAATCACACGTGTTCCGTTTCATTTTTGTTTTTTAGGTACTTGAGCACAAAATTTCAAAAAAAAAAGTTTTGAAGACCATTACAGTAGCAAATGCTTCGAAAGATGGATAGTGGGCAAAATATCCTAAATTTGTCGTGCTGCATGGAAAGTAGTGTTGCTGAGAAAAGGGGGTTTGATCCAGATTATTGTGGATGCAGAATACATTGTCTGCACCCTATGCAGAATTATTGTTGGTGCAACTGCGCCCACTGCACCCATGGTTCCTACACTTATCGGCCCATCGATAGCGCTTCAGCGATACCTATCGCCTAGAGGCTGCAATGGGGCCCTTATAGTACGGTGTCAGACCCCCAGAGGCCGGCATTGGATCCAAGGGTCAGCGAAGGGCCTCAAAGGCCCCAGGTAGGGCCCCAGAGGCTGATGTGAACCTTCAGAGGCAAGTGCGTGACGTCCAAAGGTAAGGCTTGAGCCCCCAGAGAACATAATAGGGCCATCAATGGCCGGTGTAGAGACCTCATAGGCCAGTTTTGGGCCCCCTCAGAGGCTAGTGTGGGGCCTCAGGTGTCGGTATGAGGCACTTAAAGACCGTTATGGGTCCTCAGAAACCGGCATCGATCCTTCAGAAGCCAGTACGGGACCCTCAGAGGCACAAAAGGGTCAGTTTGGGTCCCAGAGACAGAAATGGGACCATCAGAGGCCGGTGTGGGACCTTTAGAGGCTGGTTTGGGCCCTTAGGGGCCAGTTTAGGGCCCTCAGAGACCAGTACAGGGCCTCCAAAGGGCAGTTTGAGACCATCAGAGACCGAATTGGGCACTCAGAGGCTTATCTAATGTGGGTCTTTACAGGCCAGCATGGAGCCCACAGAGGTTAGCGTGGGGCCATAAAAGACCGACATGGGCCGGCGTTGGACCCCAGAGGCCAGTAAAGGGCCCTCAAAGGCCAAGATGGGCCCTCAGAGGCCGATGCGGGCCCTTAGAGGCCGGCATCAGGTCTTCAGAAGCCGTGCGGGGCCCTCAGAGGCTAAGGTGGGTCCTTACAGGACAGTACGGGCCCTCAGAAGTCAGTGTGGGGCCCTAAAAGATTGGCATGGGCCGGCGTTGGACTCTAGAGGCCAACAGAAGGCCCTCAAAGACCAATATGGGCCCTCAGAAGCCGATGCTGACCCTTAGAGGCCGGCATCGGGTCTTCAGATTCCAGTGCGGGGGGCCCTCAGAGGCTAATGTGGGCCTTTACAGGCCAGCATAGGGCCCTCAAAGGTCAGAATGGGACCCTAAAAGACTGGCATTGGCCGGCGTTGGACCCCAGAGGCCAGCAGAGGGCCCTCAAAGGCCAAGATGGGCCCTCAGAGTCCGATGCGAACCCTTAGAGGCCGGCAAAGGGTCTTCAGAATCCAGTGCGGGGCCCATAAAGGCTAATGTGTGTCCTTACAGGCCAGCATGGGGCCCTCAGGTCAATGTGGGGCCCTAAAAGACCGGTATGGGCCGGCGTTGGACCCCAGAGGCCAGCGGAGGGCCCTCAAAGGCCAAGATGGGCCCTCAGACGCCGATGCGGGCCCTGAGCGGCCGGCATTGGGTCTTCAGAATCCAGTGCGGGGGGCCCTTAGAGGCTAATGTGGGTCCTTACAGACCAGCATGGGGCCCTTAGAGGTCAGTGTGGGGCCCTAAAAGGCCGGCATGGGCCGGCGTTGGACCCCAGAAACCAGCGGAGGGTCCTCAACGGCCAAGATGGGCCCCAGAGGCCGATGCGGGCTCTCAGAGGCCGACATCGGGTCTTCAGAATCCAGTGCGGGGCCCTCATAGACACTTAAAGGTTAGTCTTGGGACTCGAGAGACAGAAATGAGGCCACCAGAGGCCGGTTGGGCCCCTGAGGCCGGTTTAGGGGCCCTCAAAGGCCAGTGGAGGGCCCTCAGAGGTCAATGTGGGTCCTCAGCGGTCAATGTGGACGCTTGACCGCCACTGAAGGGCCCTCAGAGGTCAGTGTAGGACCCTCAAAGACTGGTATGGGAGCTGTTAATGGCTGGCGTGGGTTTCTCAAGCCTCGTGACAATCGGATACGGGCCAGGGCCCCATACGGCCATGGGGGCCCATCGGTTGTTTGGGGGGGGCCAAATGATATGATGGCCCCCCCTGATTTGCCTTTGGGGGGGGGCATGGCCCTGATGGCCCCCCCCCCCCTGCGACCGCCACTGGAGGTGATAGATATAGGCAAGGATATAGTTGCAGTTTCTTTTTGCTCTAAGCGTATGTATGTATATAGACATATACAATCATTTTGAAAAAAGATATATCACCTCACATAACACAATAAATCTCGCCCGAAATTTCAACAGTGAAGGAAATCGCAGAGCAACAGTCAGACCTTCAGCTTATCAAGGTAAGAACAAGTAAATTGCTCAAAGCGTATGATAGATATTGCATATTTTATCTAATAAATTTAATTGAAACACATGACAGGACGAATGGACAAAGCCGGAGCCCACGTTAAACAGCAAACAGAGCTTGTATCGCAGGCGTTACTTCCGATCAGATAATGCCGGGAGAATGTTTACCGGGCGAATAAATCTGGATAATTGCTACAGTTTCATCAATTATTATTATCATAATACAACTTAACAAAAATGTAGTCAGCGGAGTTTATCTTCAAGGGGTTGGGTTTTTGTTTAAAAAAAAACATTAAAAAACACTAGAGCTGAGGCATAAACGAGGGTTTAGCAATACGTACCGGACATCTTGAGTCAGGGCGATGTATAACAAAATAGACTGCACTTTTAATGCCATTTATGTAATTTAGAGTTTTGACCTCGGAGTCGGTCGGCCAACAACTTAATTTTCGAGCTTCCAATATTAACTTTGATATTTTTCCGTTGTTTTACAAAGACGTTTGTAAATACTAAATAGTTTGTCTCTCACTGGTTTTCATATGTGTTAAGTGTTCTATTTTATTTTTTGTATGAATGTTTGCTTTACATCTTATGTTGGGTTAGACCTTTTCGATCTTATACCATTTCAGGCTGGAAGGATGAAAGGAATTAGGGAGAGACTTTGGTCTGGCAGCCGTGCTGGTGCATTACCGCGGCTGAGCCCCTCACGTTCTAGCAATGTCAAAATGATTTTAATGCCAGTAAAATGCCTCTTTTCCGATGAACAGGCGGTCGCTATAGTAAACTGTTAAGTTTTGTAGTGGGCCCTGCACATGCACCAATCATCGTGCATAAGTGGATTGCCCATGATGGTAATAAATACATGCATACATGCATACATAAGAGGCCCAGCCGTGACACATGGAAATGCATCTCAGAAACGCTCTCCGATGCAGGTGGCGCCACCTCCCAACCATCCTGCAAAGCAGCGGTGAGCCCTCGAAGGCAAAAGACCTCTTCCATGGCAGATGGCACCACCTTTGCTGAAAAGGTTAGCGGTGAGCTCTCAGGGCTTTGTCCCTAGGCAGGTAGACCTCCCAGCATCCACTGAAAGGCAGCTATGAGCTCAGCCATCGGAGGGATAAATATCTGCCCTAAGGTAGGTGGCGCCATCTCTGCAGTGAGCTCCCATTGGACAGAGTATCCAAGACGTGGTAGGTGGTGCCTCCTCCTCCTCCCGACCGTCCTTGTCAAGCCACGATGAGCTCAGGCACAAATACCAGCTCGGGAGCAAGTGGCAATGCCATCACTGAAGAGCACTGGCAAGCTTCTCGGGTTCAGTTGAGGTAGGTGGCGCCACCGCTCGACATCCGCTGACAGGCAGCGCTTACATCGGAGGGACAAACATCTGCCCTAAGGTAGGTGGCGCCACCTCCAGCAGCGGTGAGCCGCGAGCTTCCAGGGACAAAATACCCCATCTGAGGAAGATGGCACCACCCTCGCCGGAAGGCAGCTGTGAAGTCTCAGGGAAAGATACAGATACCCGCTGTGAGGTAGGTGGCGTCATCCCTGTGCCGTCAGCTCCCGCGGACAGAGCATATGAGATAAGGCAGGTTATGCCACCGGCACAGAATGACAGCTAATAGCTTCCTCGCGACTGTCCATCACATTCCCTACCACAATTCCTGGTGCAAACCATTGTCGGACATCAGCCTGTTACCTGACCGGTCTACCCATTGCATAACACCAGGCCAAATTGGGCCAGTGGAGCCAGCACACATCGCAATGCTGTATAGCTGGTTGAATTGAACGCCCAGTGTTCACTCCCGCGCGGCTAGAGCGGCGTCAATGGTCGGTCGGAAGCTGCCGTACCCGGATCGGTCACGCACCGTCATGCGTGACGAGTGAGTCACGTCACCGATCTGCACACACCACTGCACCAGACCGTCACGGGAGCCGAGTACGGTGGGGCCGAATAAGAATTTATGCGCTGACGCACGCAATTCATAATTGATAGGTACGGCCATCGGTGTAGCGACACGAATGTTCTCGTATGAGCCTTATTACATAATTATTGGCAAAATTTTGTATAAAAACCAGCACCAGCATGAAAAGTTATATTTTTCCTTTTATTATCAAAAACAGATGAGCTTTCGACAGCGCCGTGGCAATAAAGGCATCCCGTAACTGAATTTCACATACATCTTCCCCGACCAACTTAATGACCTGAGGAGCTTTGACCTGAGGTCAACACTAAAAAAAAAATCTTCCCCGAAGACCTGGCTGCTCTACCTTTTTTCGTAAAATAAATAATTCATCGAAGACCAGCCCTTGGATTTTTGACTTGGCCTCAGAGCTTACCGAGTGAATTGAGATCAATCGCTGAGTCTCGATACAGAGCACCCACTTTCCGCTTAGCAGTTAGCTCTACCTCATTTAGAGCAAAACGGCGAAGGTGGGTCGTATTTTCCTTTGGCTCCCTTTACACGTTATGTAGAAAACGATCGGTCACACGAGGGCTAACTCTTCAAGTCGTTTTAACTGTGTCCGAGGGTACGTCAATTGATTCAACGAACATCTGACTGTCCGTGCTGCTAAGTTCTGTACCCATAGTTATAATACAGACTGGAGGGACACTGATAATGAGGGGCATTTGAAAGGCATTGGGGTTGAATTTTGAAACGATGGGTGTGACCGAATCATGCACGCACTGGCGTTTTTATGCAGCCAGCGGCGGCGGCCTGTTCCACGATCTGTGACCTGTGCCCTTCCGGTGTCCTCCAGCTCTATAGGTGGGGGGGGGGGGGCGGCGGGACGACGCACGCGCCGGTTCTCTGAACCAGTTGGTGGTTGGACCGGCCCGGCGGCGGTCGTTGGCGGCGCTGTGACGCACCACGTGTGACTCAGAGCGGCGGCCGGCGGCGCGTGGCGACCCGGTCCCTAATGAGCCGCATCCGAACCGGCCGGCCGAGCGCCATATCAGAGCGGCCCCGACCGACGGCGGCACACACCGGTCACGGCCGCGGCATCGACGGGACGGGCACCTCCGGCAGGACTGCAGGCAGCGCCCAGCGGACTACTGATAGGACAGGCAGCGGACCTCCGGCGGGACAGGCAGCGGACCTCCGGCGGGACAGACAGGACAGCGAGTCCGGCGGGACAGACAGGACAGCGAACTTCCAGTGACACAGTTCTACAGGTGAGCCCAGATAATGTATCAATACAGAAGTGCCCTGCGTGCGGCCTGTGGGCTGTTAAGGTCACGGTTTGCAGCTCTACGAAGCCGTATATCCACGGTCAGATCACCCACTGAGGACCTACTGCCAGTTACGCCGTGGCAGTGCCGTGCCACTGAGCTAGGCGACAAGGTTCAAGTTGGCGATTTCATGACCAAGCGAGTCCGTTGTGCATGACTATTGGAGTAGCCGAGCCGTAGGCATCGCCACCACGTCGGGCGCCCTCGAGCAGCCTTTACACCATCTTCAGGTGGAGAGTGCGACAAGATCTGACCGTGCTGCTCCTGACCTTACAGAGGACACCGAGCATGGCGTCGAGATCGAGCGTGCTGCCGCTGCTTCTGGCGGTGCTAGCCGGCGCTGTCGCCGTCTCAGCACACCGTTATGGCGCCGGAAAATGCGCCAACGTCACACCCATGGACGACTTCGATGCTAGTCGGGTAAGCTGTAGCCAGGCATCACATGCAATCATCGCTATCACCGTGCTATGATCTGATCATTGACTGTTCTGATGGATTATGACCTTGGTCAGTGCAATAGGTACTCATCCAATGTAGCGGCAGAGCATGCGACATTCGGGGTGGCTGGGTGTTACCGACTACCGTGTTGACTCATGAACCATGACTGATGACTGTTCGTTTGTATCTGGTCCTCGGGACCCTCACTGCCGACTGTGCGTTGCTGACCACCGAATTTCGTCGTTCCTCAGATGGTAGGCCTGTGGTACGTCCACCGCGCCTTCTCCACTTCCTCCACGTGCCTGACGTTCAACTACACGCTCACAACCACCGGCCTGGAGGTGGTGGAGACCAAGGAGCTGCGAGCCCTGGACGCCGTCGGCCTCGACCACAAGTACAGTTCGGTGGGCACACTGAAGGACAATGGCCTGCCCGGCGCCTACCAGGCCTCCTTCTCCACCAGTAAGTGCTGGACGTAGCGAAATCCGTTTAATCAAAAATGTGCCATTGGCATTGACAAAGAATGAACGAAGTATGCGTTGAGTGCAGACACATAGTATTTCACATCATTAACACGAAGTGAAAAGCCGGCATGCCTAGCGTCAGAGGTGAAACGATCAACAAAACAACAGCTAACAACTCCAACCTTGTTTCAGACCCCTTGAAGTCCAAGTACGTCATCATCTCTACGGACTACGACAACTACGCGGGAGTGTTCCACTGCCAGCACTGGGCCAAGCTCGTCCACAGACGTAACGTCTACGTACTCTCGCGGACACGCGACATCGAAGAAATCTACATTGAGAAGGTAGGAAGACATTATATATGATTGTTCGCTGGATCCGTTTAGGTATTGGTAGCCGGTCCGTAGGGTCCGCAGTTGACTGCTGTCCTGTGCCGACAATCTGCAGCTGTAACCCGTAGAGTGTAGAGTGGAGATGTACGGAGCTACTACTGAAAGCAGATAATAATTGAAATGACTGTGCTGACTGCTGCGTCGCTGCGTTGCGCTCGTCAGAACGGTTTGCAGGCATGCCTGCAATCTCCCCCCCCCCCCCCCCCTTCTGTTTCTCTCCTACAGTGTGACCGTGTCCTGTGTTATGTCAAATCCGTCGGCGTATGGTGGTGTTTAGCCTGGAGCCTCCTATGAGAATCGAGACCTCCTACAGGTTCTAACAACATACGACTGTTTTCCACAAAATCCGCCGCCGTATGCTGGTGTTTGACCTAGGTCCTAGAGCCTCCTATGAGTACCGCCTACAGAAAATGACTACATGTGACCATTTTCCGCAGATCCGCCGCCGTATGCTGGTGTTTGACCTGGAGCCGGAGCAGCTGGAGAGCGTGTCACACGAGGCCTGCACCGACCGGGCCGACAGCGACTTTGACGTCCGGCTGGACGGATCGCTGTTCGACCTCCGGGACAAGGAGTGACTCAGGATCGAGCGCAGCCAATGAAGGGCATGAAGCAGAGAAGGGACCTCGAGCTGATTCTCTCATAAAGCGAGGCACGGTTCGCCACTACTTAGCTGACGGTAGTTGTGCACACTCAGGACGTTGTTAATCAATTATTGACCGGACGAGGATTAACCCGCGCCCTGCTGGGGGGGGGTGTTTGAACACCCCCCCCCCTTGTCGTTTTTCGCGAATATCTCAAAAACGGCGGCGCGGAGCGCCGCCGTTTTTGGTACACCTTATCATACATCAATTCTACACATGTTGTGAAAATTTCAGACCAAGGTCATTCAAGGTCAGGTCACCAGGTCACTTGAAGTGACCTCACCTCATAAAAACTTTCAATGTCTGTCATAGCTACACCGAGTGACCGATCGCTTTGAAACTTTCAGCGATTGCTAAGAGCAATAGCATGTACAAAATGTTTATCTCAGAATTTTGATATCGATGACCTAAGGTCAGGTCAATTTTGCGACCTCCCCATTATAAGTCAATGGGAGAAAATTGAAATGCGCCTCTTTTGGAAGAAAGACATTATAAACACTCCCAAACACCGAATTACAAGTGGTTTAGACACACTGAACTTAAAAATGGTGTCCGTGACCCTTGTTTATGCCCTGAGGTCATCTTAGGTCACGAATGGTATCTAACAGTTTTTCGCAAATAACTTTTGATAGAGGCATGCTAGAGCGATGAAAACGCCTTAGATGTGTTCAGCTCGACGATACGGATCGACTGATATGCAACATGACCCTTTCCGGTCAGGTCATGACCTTGACCTGAGGTCAAATTTTCAAGTTGACCTTTCAAGGTCAAGTTATAGTTCATTCGATGCGTCTTGACGAGAGGAACACGATGCCGGTAAAAGTAAGCTCGTACAAGGCTTGGGTCAAAAGTTATTGCAGAAAAACTGTTTTAAAAAAAAATCGGCTATTTTTGCAGTTTTTGCCCCCTGCAGGCAAAACCGTTGACGTTAGGTCAAATCTGAGAGAATTACTCAGAAAGGGCGTTAATAGGGCTATCGAATGCGCTTTTCCGCGGCGCTGTAGCTCTATTGGTTCCCGAGTTATGCGTTGGCTTCTTGGAAATTTTCGACATTCGACCTGGAAATCGGCGAAATTTTGCCTTCAATGACCTCTGGTGACCTGACCTTTGACCTGACCAAAAAATTGACCGAAGTGATTTCGTCATTATTTTTGACGCTCTTTCGAACGCCGCCTTCCGCGTATCGCTACGTGGCCCAGGAGCCGAGTTACAAGGGGGGTGTTTAAACACCCCCCCAGCAGGGCGTGGAAATCCAGGACCCCCAGCAGGGCGCGGGTTAAGTCCGTGTTACAGTTTACAGAGGATGCCTATCTCATGTCAATGTTAGCTGCACAGCTGTACTGGCGGTGCTCAATAGAAGATTATGGTCGATACATACCAATGCAGCTTTGTGTGTCCCAAGAGAAGTATCACCGTTTCACCTGCACACACCACTACACCAGGCATCAGGACTCAGGCACCACCAGAGAAATGGTGGATGAAAAGTTGAACGCTGATCAGTATCAGTGTCACAGTGAACATCCTGCGTCCATCGTAGACTGAATCATTTCATGTTGTTGTCATAATGTGATTTTAAATACACGGCTATAACACGAAGTATCCTTCAGTTTGACACTCATATGTACAATAGCTACCGTGCCCCAATCTCTCCGAAAGCTGTACGAGCTAACGTCAGTCTCGTCTCACTCGCTCGACTTTGACTAATGATCGTTCTTGCTTATCGATGGCCAGCTATTCTGGTACATATTACATAATGTACATGAACGGGCATGTGTATGCAATACGCCTTCCAAGGAGTCACGAAGGAGTATTCTCTATAAGACGAAGTTAATGCTAAGGGGCGCTGTAAATGATCTTTGCTATCCATATTCAAGCCTTTCGAAAGGATGGGCCGGATAACTTCAGAAGGCTAATGCTAAAAACAACATTGTAATGACCTATTTTATTTGCCCCTTTCCAAATAATGAAGGCCTGTCACTGGTGATAAGTAATATTCAGGACAGTAACTGATGGCTGATGGGATACTGCACTAAAAGCAAGTCGAGATTAGGAATACACTCGTAGTTACATACACTAGCGAACACCACTGCATCACAGCGCACAGAACACACAATCTGAGGGACACACCGGTCACCGCACAACACAGTATCACGTTAGACGAGCATCGACCAATGATCAGTATAGGTACGCACAACTCAAAATCAGCATGAAACACAGACAGCTCAGAGCTCAGTATAACCTACTTGGTAGAGTTCCGTAGACGGAGATGCTGAACCAAACTTCGTTCAGCAGGCGAGAGCCAGTGCAGAGGTCTGTTCCTCCTCTGTAACCGGCGCCTCAGAAGCGCTGGTCGATCGGAGGGTCCAGATCCTCAGCCATCTCCGAGTCATCCTCCTCCTCATCGTCGTTATCATCGTCGTCATACTCGTCCTCCTCCGCCTCATCCTCCTCGTCGGCTCCGTCGACGGTGGAGCGTCCGAGCGGCAGCGCGTCGCTACCCTGCTGGCGCAGCCGGGTCAGCAGCTCCAGCTGCTCCTGCTCCTGCAGACGCAGCTCCTGCTCGGCATCCGTCCGCCGGTCCAGTCGGCTCCAGGAGGAGCAGGACACCACCGGGTCCAGCTTCGGGAACGGAGACTGCTGGAAGTTCATCGGCGATGTGGGAGAGTCTGAAAATCACAGCCGTCCGGTGATTTGAAGGTGTGAATAGTGATTAAAGTGCGCTGTCAAATAATGATGTAAGCCGTCGACACAGCTATACACCTTTTCACGGTCAAATATAGACATAAAACAAACAATTCAGTAATAGTGCAATCGATCTCGACAGTTCAGCGTTCGCCATAGTCGAACTGCCGTACTGTCGAAATAGCCTGCAGTATTACTGAAATGTGTGCCCTGCCGCCTAAATTGGGCGTAAGAAGGTGTAGTTAGTTAGCGTTTGAGGGTAAGTTCATTGTTATCCCTGTCAACATAGCGCCGTCGAAATTCAACAAGGATGAAAATGTTGCAGCCTTTGCCTGGTCATTTACTCGGGGTCATGCCAAGTCATCAAGCCAAGTACTTATCCTGCTTCTGTGAAGGTTACGTTTCGGTCGCACCTTCTTTGGTTGTGGAGGTACGATTTGCGTGCAGGCATATCAAATCTCGTATTTTTCAGGAATGCGCGAAAATGGACGACAATAAAAGCTTAAGCTTGGCAGCATTTATTTTATTTCACACACAGACGTGATTTTCACACATGAGGGAGACCCTCTTATATCATCTTTGCATCGTCCTATCTGCCAGGCTATAGGCAGTAAGAAACGAAGAAAAGGTAGTGAAGTAATACCAATCGGAGATTGTTGCTGACCACTACGGAGAACAAAGAATCGATATTTCATAAAAAAGAGGGTGGATGCAAGCCATCAAGTTTCTAATACCGATTGGTATGCCAGACGCAATCCATGCAACTGAAAATGGCCTTAGAGCCAGCAGTGTCCCTCAATGCTGTTCGTTCTATACACCCGGGGATTTGTTGCAGCGAATAACACACGTGTAGGCTTCAACCAGTCATCAAGTTTATCACACACCGATGCGAATTAGCTTCAGTAACCATCCCAATGCCTTAGAGGTCGTTCAGCTTATTGCCAGCGACTCATACCCGCGACCAAACGTCAGTGGTGTCCGATCATGCCAGACCGCGCTGGCGCCTGGCAGTGAGCAATAAAACCAAACCGGCAGGGTTCACAGCACTCACACGTCCGACGTGTCTCATAAACTGACGACCTCGTCACGGCGAGGTTCTCCTAGTACAGTCCTCGTCAGACCTGGGGCTCGTCTGTCGTTATCCTGGGCAGAGTCCTCTACCATTTCGGTCGTCAAGACGGTCTCTTCTACTGAATTTCGCGCCACGGATAGAGTTCGTCTACTGTTACCCTGGTCAGAGCTCGGGTCCGTCTACTGGCTCGCGGAGTCGCCCTCGGGCTTGGCAGCCGCCTTCTCCTGGTCCACCAGGAACCACTTGCACATGAGCGCCGTCCACAGCGACAGGATGGCACCCACGCTCAGACAGAAGCGCAGCGCCTTGAACCAGGCCGGGTAGCCGTACATCACCATATCCCAGTAGCCGGCCAGGCCGAGGCCGCCGATCAGCATCAGGCCGCCGGCGCTGGGCGGAGCCAGCAGGCCGGCCCAGGCCAGCAGCGAGGGTGTGACGCTGCGCGTCAGGTTGGCCCAGTCGGGCCGCTGCGGCGCGCCGTCCGGCAGCGTCACGCCCCAGCGCACGCCGCCCAGGAAGGACAGGATGCACGCGCCGTACGCCAGCTGGGCGTGCAGCAGCTCGGCGCTGAAGTGGCCGGTGCGCAGCATCAGCACGGGCGCGGCGGCGAACGGCAGCAGGCCGGCGGCGCCCAACAGCAGCGCCGGCCGCGGCGACTGCGGCAGCTGGCGCAGGTCGTCCAGCACCACCAGAGCGCGAGAGTGAGCCGCCGGGCCGCGCCACACGGTCCGGCCGGCCGGCGGCAGCAGGCGCGGCGAACAGAGGACCGGCGGCCGGCCCGCCGCCAGCCGGCACCGCAGCACGCTGAGCGCACTCCTGGTGGCACACAGGCAACACCGGGTGTCAGCAGAGCGGCCCGACCTCGGCGATGGAAACAACTGCTAACTGATGAGTGGCATCCACATGCCACAGCTTCCATCAGGTGACTTTGAAAACGAGCATTCTCATGGAATTGGATGCACCATAATGAATGACTATTGACAGGATCAACTCATCCTGTTCAGTCTTCCTCATGATGCACGTTGCAACCATGCCACTTTGATCAGAACTTCATGCCCAGAATAAGCAAACAACCGCATTGAGCATTAAGTGAAATATAATCACTCAGTTTGGCCTTAGCAGGATCATCATTCATGACCTTCATAATTTGAAACAAGCACTTACTACCATAACTCAGAAATAACTTCTATCATGTGATCCACCAATCACCAATCCTGTTTGTTGTTTGTTTCTATACATGATTCTAATGCACAATGAATGTGTCTGGTGTCATCACTTATCAGAGAATATAACCTGAGGGGTGTTCACGGGCACCGCACACTGCTGCGTGCGCTGTGTGCGGTGCGTCCAGCAGGCGTGGGGGTAGGGGATGGGTAGGCGGTTCTGACGTCACGGCTGCGTGCGGTGGACGGTCCGCTGTGGCCAGTCCCGACCGGCCACAGCGATCGCTGTGTGCGGTGACGGAAGGCTGACGTAGGGACGCAGTGGGCGGAGCTTGGAGGCTGTGTGCGGTCCGACCGCACACAGGGCCCGTGAACAGCCCTCTGATCCCACAAAGCAATGTGAAGCAGCATCTCTTTATGGTCAGGTAGGTACAGGGCTGCAGAGTCGATGGATTTTCGGGTGACTCCGACTCGGACTCCCGCTTCACATATTGACTCTGACCCAGACTGCGAATCCGGACGGACCTATTAAAATCCATATCATGATATTGAAGCTCATATTGTAGATGTTTTATCTTTCCTGAAACGACCCCTTGTGCGTGACTTTGCATTGCAATCATGCGTTAAAAATAACATACAAAATTAAAAAGCAGTTCTGAAGAATCTACTGTCTTCTGCTTCTTTCGCTTTACACAGTGGGCCGGCAATGCGTAAATCACACCGGGGTGTGATATACACAATGTGCTCCTAGTGTGTAAATCACACCCGGGTGTCAGACCACGCAGCACCTGGGTGTGATTTACACAGTAGGCCCGGCAAATGCGTAAATCACACCGTGGTGTGATATACACAATGTGCTCCTAGTGTGTAAATCACACCTGGGTGTCAAACCACGCAGCACCTGGGTGTGATTTACACAGTAGGCCTAGCCAATGTGTAAATCTCACCAGGGTGTGATATACACTGTGTGCTCGGTAGTGGGTAAATCACACCTGGGTGTCAAACCACGCAGCACCTGGGTGAGATTTACACAGTAGGCACGGTAACAAGACACTTAACCAAACCTTAGACCTGACCTGACCTGACCTGACCTGACCTGACCTAACCTAACCTAACCTAACCTAACCTAACCTAACCTGACCTACTGATTTTTGCCTACCCGTGGATGAGGAAGAAGGTACTCGCATGAAGAGATTGCAAGCAATGGTAAGTCAAATATTTTTAGGTTAAGTGGTTGTGCATCAGGCTTCAGGCCTTCGGCCTGAAGCCAGATACACAACCACTTAACCTAAAAATATTTGACTTACCATTGCCTGTAATCTCTCCTAAGGCATTGCCTTCGGCACTGCACCGCTTCGCCACGAGCATTCAGACGTCGCTTTCCATATTGTATTGGTGCTTTTAAACTTGTCGGTCGGCAGCGAACCCACCGCTACCAAGGAAAAGCGAAAATGCGGGAAAAAGCGCCCGCACCGACGGGACTAGAACCCGCAACATTCGCATCATGGTGCAAGCACCTTCACCACTAGGCCAGCCGGTCAGGTGATTCCGAGGGAGAGGACGCCCGTAATACCGCCGGAATATTCGTAGTGCTTAGTCTGATCTGACCAATGGGCGAGCAGAGTCACTGCTCTGACCAATGGACGTTCAGCGTTGCTATGACGTCACATCGTGGTGAGATATACACACAGCTGCCCTCTCTGTGTATTCCTCACCCGGGTGTGATTTACACTACGTAGTAGATTTTGTGTATATCACACCGGGGTGGGTGTGATTTACACAAATGGCCGGTATTGTGTAAATCTCACCGTGGTGTGATATACACGGTCCCAATTTTTTCAGTACCATAAATTTCAGTTATTTTGCACTATCATAAGTTCAGTTTGCACTATCGTCTTTTCGCAGGCAATTCCTGTCAAACACAGGTATATCCGGTCATTCCGCACTATTTTAGCTAGTACAGAGGCGATGCCAGATCTGGCATAATAAATGGGTGTGTGGTAGCTCATTTTGCACTAAATCCGGTATATGAGCACTATTCATGATTTCACTGCCGAGCACGATCGCTGCTGCTATGATCACAGTATTCTTGAGCCTTGAGGTATTTATTTTTTATGTTGTACGTAAGTTGGACATCAAAGTATGATCCTCCATTCAGCGTATTACTTCCACGATGAAAACGGAATTGGAGCAAGTTTTGTTGCATAGGTCCTGCCCTCTACGCAATACACCACGCCCGGTGCTGCCCCCTAACGACTAATAGGCATGCTGGGTATATATTAGGTAAATTTGTGGACAAAAATGCGCATCGCTAAGGTTCGTGGGACAAAATCATGTACGCAAATGTACGGTACACGCGGTCTGCCCACCGGCTTCATCTGGCTCACGATGCAGCGTGACCACTCATGCTCCTCAGCAGTCAGCAAAGTACCACTCCCTCGAAATGAGAGCTGGCTAGGCGTTAGGCCGCTGAACGATGAAACGCTGCTGCGAAATGCTACAATCAAGATCCATCTAGTTGATGTGCGTCAATGACAGACACGTCCCTTCCACGACACGTACGGAAGGGACGTCGAGCGCTTCCTACTAAGCATGGGAAAATGCCACCGCACATTTAGATTAAGCATTTGCTGCTGCAATGCTGTACCTACATGCCCATAGCGCCGTTAGATAACCTGACAGAATAAAGACAGCAGCACTGGCGGACCAGTACGCTTGGGCGGACGGTAGGACCCAACATCCTCGCGGAAATCGTCATCACTCTCCAATCTCCATGCTAAGAACCTCGCTCAGTTCACTCTTGGACAAGAAAAGGCAGGATGATCGGCACACGCTGAGGCTGTACGCAAATCAATCTGTCCAAATTCCTTGCCAAATCCGTCCAAGAAGCGCGCCCTGCGTCCTATCGGTCCTCTCAAAACGCATGCGCCGAAGGACGCTAATCGACCTGGCAACAAACAATCTGTAGCTAGTACAGACTAGTATTGTAGTTTGTTTCTCCATAATATACTTAAATCCTTCTAGATTTAGTAGGGATGCCTAAACATCTACCAAAAATAGTGCGAAATGACTACCATTAGGTGCCATTCAAACTAAAAATACTGCGAATTAGACTGAAAGTAGTGCTAAAGTCCCTTAAATAGGTGTTATAACTGGTTAGGTGCTAAATGACCCTGTTATACCTCAAATTAACTGGAAATGCCTAGTTTTGCCGAAAATACCACAAAATGACCGGTTTTTAGTGCTGAGAAAATTACCATCCTATCTTTAATTTGATTTGATATTTGAATATCGCAACGCAATAAGCCGATTTAAATTACGTTAAACTGGCTTAAGTGTTTTTATTTACCTCAGGTACTTTGAAGATCGTTGTCTCTTTTAGGCAGAATGTAAGTTACTTTGATTCTTAGCCTCTCCCATTCTTGAAATGATAATATTTGGGACCGTGTATATCACACCACGGTGAGATTTACACAATACCGGCCATTTGTGTAAATCACACCCACCCCGGTGTGATATACACAAAATCTACTACGTAGTGTAAATCACACCCGGGTGAGGAATACACAGAGAGGGCAGCTGTGTGTATATCTCACCACGATGTGACGTCATAGCAACGCTGAACGTCCATTGGTCAGAGCAGTGACTCTGCTCGCCCATTGGTCAGATCAGACTAAGCACTACGAATATTCCGGCGGTATTACGGGCGTCCTCTCCCTCGGAATCACCTGACCGGCTGGCCTAGTGGTGAAGGTGCTTGCACCATGATCCGAATGTTGCGGGTTCTAGTCCCGTCGGTGCGGGCGCTTTTTCCCGCATTTTCGCTTTTCCTTGGTAGCGGTGGGTTCGCTGCCGACCGACAAGTTTAAAAGCACCAATACAATATGGAAAGCGACGTCTGAATGCTCGTGGCGAAGCGGTGCAGTGCCGAAGGCAATGCCTTAGGAGAGATTACAGGCAATGGTAAGTCAAATATTTTTAGGTTAAGTGGTTGTGTATCTGGCTTCAGGCCGAAGGCCTGAAGCCTGATGCACAACCACTTAACCTAAAAATATTTGACTTACCATTGCTTGCAATCTCTTCATGCGAGTACCTTCTTCCTCATCCACGGGTAGGCAAAAATCAGTAGGTCAGGTTAGGTTAGGTTAGGTTAGGTTAGGTTAGGTTAGGTTAGGTTAGGTTAGGTCTCCGCGTGGTGTGATATACACAGGAGTAGTGTATTGTGTAAATCACACCCGGGTGAGGTTTACACTACAGTGCGATGCATTATGTAAATCTCACCGTGGTGTGATATACACGCGTCCGAAAAAATTATCCCCCTTAAAGATATCATATTCCAATCACATTCGATGTCCTACTAAGAAATAATTATGTTCTTAGATTGCTAGTAGGACATTGTAGCAAATCACGGCCTCCTCCGAAACTATGGTTACCAATGAGCTTTCGCTGGCAGCAAAACCACAGCGGCTTGTTCACCTAAAGAATACATTACAATTGTTTTATACGCGCCAGCAACGTCATGAATTCTGGCTTCCATATAGGGGAGAGCGGGGTCAAATGTAACACGGGGCAATTCGCCTCGTGACACCTCGCTAGGTGGCAGCACCGTAGAACCGTATAGATAGGATAGCGAATGTGGCGCACGAGTTACGAATACCGGTAAACATGTATTTCTGTATCAGCTTCAGTGGAAATTGGGGTTGGGGGGAAGCTGATTATTATCGATTTTGATCCCTCTTATGCAGTTTCCGGCGCACCACGTGGCGGAGAGGACGGGTTTCAGTCACGACTATTTAAAGATTTAAGATTTAAGACGTAGACCGATATTTGTTGCTACAAAGGGTTTTAAGAGTACTCCGAGAGTGTTTGGAGCTGTAATTTCGTTGGAAGCGGTCAGAGTTCAAATAAGGTTGACGTGTAGCTACAAGAGCGAAAGGTGGGTTTGCATGTTGATGTAGGGCAAATCTAGAAGATGGGGCCAAAACGGGCCTTCAAAAGGGTGAGAGGGGAAGGCTTCTCTGAAAGTTTCTGGGACGATGGTGAGGATACTGGGGTGTATCTTACCATAAAACTTCTGTCTGGTAAACCTGTCAAAGAAAAAGGCTGGCCCTGGGTCCAGCAGGCAGTAAGGGGGATACTGGGTGGAAGGAACAAAGTGGAGAAGGCCAGTTTCATGAACGATGGAAGGCTTCTGGTCAAAACCCAGGATCAGTCCCAGGCCGAAAAGCTCATCAATGCCAGGCTTTTTGGGGGTGAGGAATGTGAGATCCAGAGAGATCAAAAACTGAACCAAAGCCGAGGAACTATCCATGCTTTTGACCTTCTAGACCTGTCCGACGATGACATCCTGGGATGGTTGGCAGAGTTTGGGGTGGTAGCTGCCAAGCGATTTATGAGAAAAACAGGTAACCATCTAGAAAAGACACCAACGATTCTTCTGACTTTCAACAAACCATCTTGCCCTACAAAGCTCCAGTTTGACTACGTGGAGTACAAAGTCAAAAAGCATGTGCCCAATCCTCTCATTTGCCACAACTGTGGAAAGTATGGGCACACAAAGGAGAGATGCCGGTCGACGGGAGTGTGCCTAACATGCGGGGAAAACAAACATGATGGACCATGTGCCAAAAAGTGCATAAACTGCGACCAAGCTGACCATGACTGCCTTTCGAGACAGTGTCCCGTTTGGAAAAGAGAAAAAGAGATCTGCGAGTTGAAGGTTGACAGGGACGTGTCCTACCCACATGCTCGTAGACTCTATGAAAAAGAACACCAGGTCCCAACCACACGCCTTTATGCAACTGCCGCGAGGGTTCAAGCTGAGGCTCCCCGAAATGACTCCTCAAAAACCCGAATGGACCACATGGAGGAGAAAATGGACAAAATACTGACACTACTCGAACAGTTCCTGCAGCAGAACACAAGTGTCCAGAAAGCTCAACTGGGGGTGCCCAAACACTATCAGCAAGGAGTGAGAGTTCAGGTCTCAGGAGATGGAGTTGATACGGACACCCTGCAACAGACCCAGACACAGCAGAGTCAGCACAGCGCAGACACAGATGGAGAGAGAGACACCATGGACCTGCACGGCACCCCATCAGAAAGCACACAGCTGTCCACTCTCTCTGACTCAGAGCAGAATATGTATGACCTGGCATGTGCTGAGCAGGAGTCAGCAACACACGACAGCCACTCTCAGGGAGTAGAACAAAGTCAGGACATGATACATGTCTCACCCTCAGAGATGAAAGTCCCCACTCAGAGCCCCCATGGCCTCGGAGGAAGCCCCATTGGGACCAGAGGTGGAAGCATGACAAAGACTGGTGGCGCTGCTCCATTGAACCCCCTAGCCTCCCCCCACGGAGCCCACATGGATTTCCAGCACACCCAACCACCGAAAGGAAAAAAGGTGACAAACCAGGCTGGGGTGGCATCCCGCCCTCCCACCTAATCTCCCAACTTCTCACGGTTTTGTAGAAGGTAGTTTTATTTCTTTCAAGTCCAGCAGAGTCTAAGTCTAGTGTAAGACTAGATCATATTTTTGTTTTTCTTTCCTGGAAGAGTACTCTAATAGTCTGAGAAGACATTCAGTAGAGTCATTGTTTAGTTCCAGAAGATGTTCTTTATTTCGTTTTTCGTTTTGGATCAGTTTTGTCGTCCCATGAAAAGGACGGCTCTTCATCCCAGGATGACGAAGGGCTTGTGTGCGTACATTAATTCCACACTCCTTGTTGTACTGTTTGGCATATGCTCACTCAGTTTAAATGATCTCGCATTGAACCTAATGAAAAAGCTTGCCAAAGTTCAGGAGAGCTTCCTGAATTCCAACCTGACCAGTCCCTGGATATCCTACAGTGGAATTGTAGAGGACTGATAGGAAAATGGGCAGAAGCCAAACAGATGCTGACAGAGGGTTCTTATCATGCAATTTGCCTCCAGGAAACACATTTCATTGTAAATGACAAATACTCTTTCAACCTCCCTCATTACACTTTATTCAATGCGTACTCAGACCAGGGGGGCAGGAGAGGAGGTGTATCCATCTACGTTTCGAATAGATTGCCACATCACCGACTGCCACTGCAAACAACACTACAGGCGCTCGCTTGTGCTATCCGGACCCAAAATAGACGAATCACATTGTGTTCATTGTATTTGCCACCCACAGAACAATTTTCATGTACTGATCTGGCACAGCTGATTGCACAGCTTCCTAAACCGTTCATTCTGTGCACAGACGCGAATAGCAAGCATGTGATGTGGGGTTCACAGTGTTGTGACCAAAGAGGAATGATGTGGATGACAGTTATTAATCAATATGACCTACTTGTACTTAATGATGGTCAACCTACCAGGTTTGATGAGTCTACAGGTACCGAATCACACATCGATCTGACTCTAGCCTCCAGTGACATAGGACATCTGCTCGTATGGGACACAGACAAGGATCTGCATTCCAGTGACCACTATCCCATACGGATCCAGTTTAGACCTGCGGTACCTGTTCCAGACCTACCATTCGTCTTTTCTGGGTGGAGTACCAGGAGAGCGGACTGGCCGGCCTTTCGATCTGCATGCACTTTTCGTTTCAAAGACGACATGGGAGTGAATAATTGTGCAGCTCTAACTGAAGAGATTATCAATGTGGCCAAACAATTCATTCCTATGAGAAATGCTAACACCAAATACCAGTGCCCTTGGTGGTCACATAAATGTCGGGAGGCAATACAAAACCGCCGACGGGCACAAAATAGGATGCGTCGCGATCCTCACTCTCAGTTCTTGCGGGTAGAATATCGCAGAATCAAAGCACAGACCCGACGGATCCTCAGAGAGGCTCAACAAGCTTCTTGGAGAGAACTTCTATCTCAGTTCAATCATAGAACACCTATGAATCGTCTGTGGGATATTATACGTAAGTTTTCAACTAAGCACAGAGTAGCGAAACCTTTCCCTGTCCTACTCCACAACGGCATTACTGTGGACGATCCTTACGTTGTGGCGAACACCTTTGGGAAATACTTTGAGGAACTCAGCTCTCAATCTAACTATTCTAGGCTCTTTCTGGACAAAGAGCAAGAGATGATGGCGCGGCTCCCAGACTTTGGTAGCGATAATCGAGACCTCTACAACAGACCAATTACTATTGAAGAGCTAAGTGAGGCAATAAAGAGCTCGGGTTCCTCATCTGTAGGCCCAGATAAAGTGCATTATGACTTTGTAAGACACATGGATGCTACCCAACTTCACGAGCTACTAAAGGTATTCAATCACATATGGCTGAAAGACACATTCCCGGAGTCGTGGTGCCACTCGTACATTGTGCCAATTGTTAAACCAGGTAAAGACCCTACATTGGTTACATCGTACCGACCGATCCAACTGACATCGTGTCTGTGTAAACTAATGGAGAGGGTTGTTGGAAAACGACTGAGTTGGTGTATTGAAAAATATGAGCTGTTGAACAAACATCAGTGCGCATTCCGTACTGGACGGTCTACTGTAGATCATTTGGTTCGATTGGACTCCCATGTTAGAGACGGCTTTCTTCACCATTCGAGCACCTTGGCGGTATTCCTCGACATTAAGTCTGCTTACAATTTGGTATCACCTACTCTTCTCCTACACCAAATGCACCGCACCGGCTTCCGGGGCCACATGATGCACTTTATTCGTGGCTTTCTGAGCAACAGAACTTTTCAGGTGAGGTGTGGTGTCTTGTCTGATGTATTTACTCAGGAGCATGGCATAGTGCAAGGTGGGGTCATCTCGCCGATACTTTTCAACCTGGCAATTGATTCCTTGATGGATGACATTCCTCAGGGTATATATTATGCTGTATACGCCGACGACGTGACCATCTGGACGCAGGGTAGACGTATCCCAACATTGTTCCACAAAATACAGAAAGCACTGGATCGGATTGGAAACTGGGCTTCCACACACGGATTCACATTTTCACCTACCAAGTCGAAAGCTATATTGTTTCGACGTAGCCTTAAACGTCTTAACCCGGAAGTTCTTCCTGACCTACACATTGGAGGCGATGCTATCTCCCTGGTCGATCAGGTGAAATACTTGGGAGTTATCCTGGACTCAAAGCTGAACTTGCATGCCCACGTGGAATATACAAAAGGCAGAGCTCAGCAGCGTATTTCCGTGTTGAAATGTGTTGCCGGAAAAAGTTACGGTGCGGACCGCATAGTCCTACTGCGCATGTACAAGGCTATTATACGACCTATATTGGAGTATGCATCATGTGTTATTGACGGACCTGGAAACAAAAGAATAGAGTCATTAGAAACCATACAAAATGCATGTTTGAGAATCGCATCAGGGGCCATCCGAACGTCTCCAGTACGAGCCTTGCAGGTGGATACGAACGTGCACCCACTTTCTGTCAGAAGGAAAGAACTTC